TTGAGGTCTTACATGCTCAAGCTAGGCCTAGTGTGACTCAGTCTTTTCCTGTTGCTGTGGATCAAGATGTAGAACTCTCAGCTCCTTCTCCAGCACCAGTCTGCCTGCATGATCCCATGCTTCCCACCATGATGACAATGGACTAAACCTCTGAAACTGTAAGCCAGCCCCAATGAAATGTTTTTCTTTTATAAGAATTTCCATGGTTACTGTGTCTCTTTACAGCAATAGAAACCCTCACTAAGACAGCAGGCTGTCCCGTAAGCCTTGTGGCCACCATTCCTACTGTAATAGTCACTGTGGTCATCTTGCCTTCAGCAGAATTCCATCTGATGACTGGAGATAATTTAGGACCTCCTTTGCTGGGGCATGGTTGCCAATGCATTGGTTCAGAAAACTAGGCTCAAGATCCACCCATCTTGGTTGTGTGCAAAGCCACAATAAGCACAGTCAAGTCTCCATAAATGTTTATTTAGGAGTGCATTTTGCCATTTTGCTTTGGTTTTTGTTTTGGTTTTTTGAGACAGGGTTTTCTGTGTAGCCTTGACTATCCTAGAACTTGCTCTGTAGATCAGGCTGGCCTTGAACTCACAGAGATCCATCTGCTTCTGCCTCCTGAGTGCTAGGATTATAGGTGTATACCACCACTGCCCGACTAGTAGTGCGCCCTTAAGTGTGCTCAGTTGTAACTCGAAGTCAAGATTATTTTAAAGGTGCATTAGCACAGGAATCTGCCCCTGCAGGTACCTGCCTTGCCTAGTCACTAATACACACATTTCACAGAAACTGACTGCCAGAGGCACTTCTGCTGAGGTGAGAGTGCTTCAGAGGCATTGGAAATTAGTGGACACACACTTCTTGGGAGTTGAGAAGACTGAGCTTTCACTGGGCTCTCTACAGTACAGGGACATACCTGTGATAGCCAATACTTCAATTTGACACAATCTAGAGCCACCTAGATGGTTTATTCTAGTAATGTGTCTGTGAGGGGCTACCTTGATTGGGTTAATCAGGGAGGACTCACGCTAACCTGCTAGACTTATTAAAAAGGGGAATGCTGCTGAGCAGTGGTGGCACACAACTTTACTCCCAGCACTTGGGAGGAAGAGGTGGATCTCTCACCCAGCCCCCTGCTTTAGCAGCCATGATAGGCTGCAGAAAAGACCCAGCAACATGTAGGCCTCTGACTCAGTACATGTTGCTAAGTTTCCAGCCTTCTGACCTTGCCAGACCTCCTGCCTCCATGTGGCAAGGAACCAATCAGAAGCCAGCTGACCGGCTCTGGATGTGCTTTACAGTAAAAGTGGCACAACAGTGATGTGAAGAGCATAGCAATCTCCCTGGGAGGGACTATGGGCTATAACAACCAGTTGACCAATCAACACGGGACAGGTCACCCAAGCCTGGAAGTACACCAATCTGTTGCATACCCCTTGCTGTCTCCAGTAAATTTTCTGCCTCTCGACCCCTTTGGTTCCTCCTCAAGCCTGTTGGACAGACGAGGGAACCTAGTTAAGACAATTAACTCATTAAATAATAAAAGACTCTTTGCCCTTGCATCAGAAGAGGTCTCTTGATGATTTGGGGTTTCAAAATTGGGCACAAAAGGAGAAAGCCTTCTGAGCGCCAGCACTCATCTGTTTGCTGAGGGCTGACATAATGTGACCAGCTACTTGATGCTCTCCCAGTGCTGTGGTTCACTTTATGCCAGACAGACTATACCCTGGAACTGAGTCAACATAAAGCCTTCCTTCCCTAAGTTGATCAGGTCTGTCATAGCAATAACATAAGCAATGAAGACACAGTCTTCCTGCTGTCTTGGGCTGCAGCTCACCTTTCTCTCAAGTGGTTGGCATTTGCTCTCTTCCAACTGTCTCCTTTGCTCCTTTCCCCACTTCCCACATGGCTGTCAAGTCTACACATGACCCAATCTCCACCCCTCCTCTTTGAGAATTCTTTGAGAATTCTTGTTTCTCTTGGCTCTAGACATCTTCCTCATCTCATCTCCTCCCATCTTGTTTCCAAACATTCTCAAAGCAAGCTACACAAAAATAACCAGCTATACTGGGCGGTGGCACCCGCCTTAAATCCCAGCATTTGGAAGACAGAGATAGGTGGGTATCTGTGGGTTCAAGGCCAGCCCTGATCTACTGAGCAAATTCCAGTACAGCCTCCAAAGCTACAGAGAAACCCTGTCTTGAAAAACAAACAAACAAAAAACAAAAACAGCACCAAGAACCCTTCAAGGACCAATCTGATAGCATCTCTTGGGTTTCCTGCTGAGCTGCTTCTTGTTTGGCCATATCCTAGTGTTTGCAGAGCACTTAGATTCTTGTCCTGTTAAATAATTAAAAGGCGGGGGAGGGGGGACAGGAGGACAGGAGGAAGAGAGAACTGTGATTGGTATGTAAAATAAGATGGTTTTTAACTTAAATAAAAAATATTATAGAAAAGAATTGCCAGTTGGTGGTGGCACACCCCTTTAATGCTTTAATGCCAGCACTTGGGAGGCAGAGGCAGGTGGATCTCTGTGAGTTCAAGGCCAGCCTGGTCTACAAAGTGAGTTCTAGTACAGGCTCAAAAGCTACTGAAAAACCCTGTCTCAAAAAACCAAACCAACCAAAGCAACAAAAGGAATCAAAAGGTGCTGGGTGGTGGTGTCGTACGCCTTTAATCCCAGCCCTTGGGAGCAGAAGCAGACAGATCTCTGAGTTTGAGGCCAGCCTGGTTTACCAGGAGAATTCCAGGACATTCAAACCTGTTAAAGAACCTGTCTCAACAAACAAACCCAAAAAGAAAGAAAAGACTCACACAGATTGTAAATAGCAGGGAAACTTTATTCAAAGCAAAACAATACAGATTAGGAATGTACAGTCAAAAGAACAGTGGTTCACATGACTACAGGTTATTGCTCTAGTTTCTGAGGTCGAAAGGAAGGAAGAGGAGTTAGTTACTAAGAAGTGTAGTTTGGGTGGTGACTATTTTGACAGATTATATTACAACCTCTTTTCTATTGTACATGTCCCCATAATGTGTGGGTTAACCCCCTGAACCGCCCCCCCCCCCCCAGACAGGGTTTCTCTGTGTAGCTTTGGAGCCTGTTCTGGCACTTGTTCTATAGATCAGGCCTGCCTCTGCCTTCTGAGTGCTGGGATTAAATGTGTGTGCCCCAACGCCCGGCTATAATGTGTGGTTTTAACTATAAGCACACCCTACAATTATACATAGGCATAACATGGTAAATGGGGTTTTCCTAAAAGTTCACTTAAGGACAGTTTGCCCTATTATGCATGTACTCCAAAATAGTTCACACTGGCCTCCTGCCTCTCTTTTCTGAGTAGCATGATGGGGGGTTGTAATTTAAGAAAAGCAGTGCAAGAGAGAATGACACCATGCTACAGGAACAGAGTTGTTTGTTTTTTTAGGGAAAGGTATCATAAAAAGGGGTGAGGGGTGGGGGGAGACTGGCCTCTAGGGGCAGAAGAGAGAGAAGAGGGGAAGAGGGGAGGGGAGGGAAAAAGGAGAGGAAGGCACAGAGGGAGTGGGAGGAGAAGGGGGGACAGACAGGTGAGAGCAAGAGACAGAGAAGGATGGGAGGTGGGCAGGGCCTTTTTAAAAGGGAACATAGTGAATATGCACAGGTGGTGTCTTAGTGGCTGCAGCTAAGGGTGCATCCTGTCAGAGACCCAAGGACAGGCCAGTACAGTCGTCTGAGTACTAACAAGGGGTGGTGTGTGTTGTGCCCAAGTTGCAAAGTCCCCAGAGACCACCAGGAGAACTGCAAAAGCAAGGTTTTAATTGTTCATTCACACATGACAGAGACGTGTGAAGTTCCCAGTCTACTGCTAGGTTTTCAGGACAAAAGTTACAGCATTACATCAGTAGGTAAGGGTTGGTTTCTGATTGGTTGACATTTGGGAACAATTAGGAGCATTTCTCAAAGTCATATATTGACCTGAAATACCTGTGTACCAATTATTCTCATTGGTCAGTGCTGAGAGGGAACATTCTGTAGTTTCTATGGCATTGTCTTGTTACTTACAGGTGACTTTTTGTTCATAGATACTAATAGTTTTCAGAACTGTATCCTGGAGACTACAGGGGAGGTTTTGGTCTCCCCTGGAGTTTCTTTTGTGAACAAACAGTTCCCAGAAACCAAGTATCTAGGAGGCTGGGGCAGGGGAGAGGGGTTCTGGAGTTTCTTTGTGTTCAGTTTTGGCCCTAGGCTCTGAGAGGCCAGAGGATCTGGAGTTTCCTTGTGTCAGAGGCCTACGTGTCTTTTCTGTAGCCTGTCATGGCTGCTAAAGCAGGGGCTGAGTTAGAGTCTGGTCCCTTCATTTCTAAATTATTGGAACTGAAGTCTTTTGAGTTTAGTTTACCCCTTTCAGTGTGGTAAGTGTCCTAGGCTATTATTATTATTATTCATTGTTTGGAGTGTGTGCACAGCTAAAGCCAAGTGGCATCCCAGGTTCCTAAAGTATTCCTCATGCTTGCATATTTCACTCGGGTGAGAGAGCACATAACAGGTAGACAATACTCATCCAGGCTCAGCCTTCTTGTTATTATCTTTTTGTTTTTTTGAGACAGGGTTTCTCTGTGGCTTTGGAGCCTGTCCCAGAACAGTTTATCAGGCTGGCCTCGAACTCACAGAGATCCGCCTGCCTCTACCTCCCGAGTGTTGGGATTAAAGGCGTGCACCTTGGACCCTTGCTAATCCTCCTGGCTTTTGAGGTGGGATTGCAGGAGGCTCGAGGACCGTGCCACCCACCTCGTCCTCAGAGCAGGGGCAGAGGCCGCCCGGGCCACATCGTTGCGTCCTTCTCCGCCCGAGTGCGGCACGTGCTTGCTGGTCACCCCTAGCACGAGGCGTCACCACGCCTTTCCCTTTCTTCAGCTCCTGGGACGCGCTCCTTCCGGGCGCCGGCGTCTCCGCGGGGACCTTCCTGGGTGCCATCACCCACGCTTTCGGGCCGCCGCGCGACACTCACGGCGTCTGCGCAGGCGCGAGCGCGCGGGGCATCACGGGCCGCCGGGACACGGAAGATGGCGGATGCGGCCGTGGGGAAGGACAAGTGCGGGGAACAGCGGCTCGTGTCGCTGCCCCTGTCCCGCATCCGAGTCATCATGAAGAGCTCTCCTGAGGTGTCCAGCATCAACCAGGAGGCGCTGGTGCTCACGGCCAAGGCCACGGTGAGCGGCCGGCGGGGTGAGGGCGGGCGGGTGCGGGCACTAACCGCCCCCCCGGGCTCCGCACACGCCCAGCCTGTCTGCTGCCCTGCGCCTGCGCGCGCCGCACCCCTCCCCCACCCCGCGGTCTCAGCCCCGCCCACCGCGGCGCTCCTCCTTCGGCTGCTTCCGCTCTGCGTGCGCACTCCGCTCCCAGCGTTCCTTGCGCCCTGCCTGCCGGCCGCGTCATTCCCGCCGTCCCTGCTGTGCGCGTGGTCCTCAGGGTCTGTCGCTGAGTGATTGGGGCGGGGGTGCGGGGGGGGGGGGCGGTTCTCGAAGGTTCCAGGGTATCTCCAGCCTTCGGGCCTCCACAGATAGCCAGTTGGTCACAAGTTAGATTCCGGGGACAAGTTTATAAGCACACAGCCCCCTCCCAACAGCACACAGCACTCTGTGACTTTTACTGCGTTCTGTATTTGAGACGGTCTCAGTATGTTTCCCTATGCTGGCACTCTGTAGAGCGGCGTCACCTCAAACTCAAACTCAGCCTCCCGAGTGCCGTTCCTGGTTTGAGGTTTGGTTTCGATAGAGGTAGTCCGGGAACCTTCCTGTTAGGAGAGGGGGCCTTGGAAAGTGCCTCTGCGATTGTTTGCAGCTTCTACTTGGACTTCAATGCTTAGTACTTCTACAGTGTATTGTGGACGGGGGCCAAGGGAGGTGCCTTTGCAACAGAGCCAACATTAAGTAGAGTCTGACAAAATACAGTAGTGTCCTGCTCATTTTTGATAGTGGTATACTATTTATGAGCAATCAGCACACATTCCTATTTCTAAATCAAATCAAGATCATGGGGAAATATTTGTTTCTGTGTAGTCCTGGGACTCAAGGTTTCTGTTCAGATTCATTCTAGCATTAAGGATCTAAGAACTATGCACACACATTACTTACTAGCTGAACCAATACTGGACCTTGGGAAAGGCTCAATTTACCATATTTCTGAGCCCTCCGATCTTGCCAGTCCCACCCCACCCCTACCCCCAGAAGTTACATTGACAAAGTGAGATTTCACTTTTCAGCTTGAGGTTGTTGGTATTTACTGTAGTTCTGTAGTTATGAGTGAACAACCTTGGACAAGGGATTCATGTAGACTGAAAATGTCTTTCAGAGATACAGACACATGGCAGCTCACATCTGTAATCCAGGCACTTGGGAGACTGAGGCAGGAGCATCTCCAAGAATTCAAGGCTAGCCTGGATTATTGACTGATACCCTGCCTCAGTAAACTGTAAGATAGAGTTCTTGACAGGCCAGATAGAAGTTTTGAATGGTCTTTTGCTCCATTTACTGTAAAGGCTGGTGACACCCTACCTACCCCATCATTGTTCCAGAGAGCAGCTTGTGTAGCTCAGACTTGCCACAGCCACCTCTTGCTTCCCCCGTAGAGTGCTGGTATGGTAAGTGTGCAGCACAGCACTTCCTGAAAACAGCCATTATAATCACTTGTAAATATTTTCCATGTTACTCACCTAAGCCCAGCTAGAAGATGCCTGCTGCCTCCTGCTCTACACAGGCATGTTTCTTTCCTGACCTCGTGTTTTTTCCTCATATAAAATGATTTCTTATAATTTGAGGAACCAAGATAATCAGAAGTATTAATGGAATTTTAAGCTTATAAAGTCTGTGATAAGTTCTCCAACCTGACCTTTCCTTTGCTTTTTTTATTGTTGGTTTAGGAACTCTTTGTTCGGTATCTAGCCACCTGTTCCTACAGACACGGCAGTGGCACAGCCAAGAAAGCCCTGACATATAGTGACTTAGCCAGCGCTGCAGAGGACTCAGAAACCCTTCAGTTTCTCGCAGGTACTTAAAACAAAAAACTTGTAGTGAGCTCTTTGTTCCTTTATTGTTCTGCTTGATGCCTCACTTTCCCCTGCCCTGGCCCAGGGAAGTGTTCTAGCTGTGTCTGTTTGAGGCTGTGAAGAACTGCAGAAATTGACAATATACACCAGATGCTTGGCTGGCTAGCAGACCACTCAGAGATGTATACTTGTCCTGTTCCCCTGCACCCCACCCGCCTGTGTGCTGCCATCACAGACTAGGATTCTCTCTGCCTACTGTGCCTGACACATCTGGTGCATATAGCCGTGGGTCAGGCCCTGGCTAGAAAGAGCTTCAGTCTAGCCCAAGGAGGGGGTTGGGCAGCCCAGCCTTCCTCAGCTAGCTTGGGACAGGGTTCACAAAATCAGGTCAGAGAAACTTGTTTACTGGCTGTGGAATAGCAACAGGTTTGTAAGTGTGCACCAGGAAGTGTGTACTCTTCATCCGTAAGTGTACACAGATTTCATGTCTTTTAAAACTTGTATTGTTGTATTCATAAACAATTATTGACATAAATTTCCTGTTTTTAAAGATATATTACCAAAGAAGATTTTAGCTAGTAAGTACCTGAAAATGCTCAAAGAGAAGAGGGAGCAAGAAGAGGAAGAGGATGACGATGGTGAAAGTGACATTGGTGAAGTCCTGGCTTAAGCCAGCAAGGCGTGATCTCAGCCTGGTGAGCAGGGATAGACTCAGCTGGGCAGTGACGCAGGCACTGCAGTGCTGTAGTGTCACATCTCAGCCTTGCGGCCTGCGGCCTTCCCTCTTGCAGTGGAAAAGACTGGAGCAGCCTCCCACACAGACCCGCAGCTGTCTCCCGTCCTACCAGGGGAGCCCTGGGCAGATGGCACTCACTGTTGTGACTCTGGGCACAGTAGCACAAACCGCTGAGCTTCATGTTGAAGTTGCAGATGACCTGGAAAACTCCATGTCAGCTGTCTAGTCACAGGGACATCCCTTTTCACAAATGGCTATATGTGTAGCTCATGTACATTGTGCTACCTTTGAATTTTTTGTATTTTTTAAATGGACTTTGCATTTTTACTGTACAGAAAATTTGCTTTTCATTTTCCATTAAAGGTTTGTATTTTACAGTAATATGCTTTATTGAAGTGGTTTTAGGATCTTTGCTTTTTCTAACATTTTACTGATAATCTTGTGAAATGTCAGAGTTAGCATTTCTGGCTAGAGATGTGAGCCAGACAGAATGCTTGCTTAGCAGGCACCAAAACAAACAGCAGCAACGTGTAAGAAGCTGTCCTAGTCTAAGACGAGTGAGCCCCAGCTCATCATCCACGTACAGTAGAAGAAGCAATCTTCTGTGTAAATGTTTAAGCAAGCTGGACACTGGAGACAGTACTCATTTTTCTGTTGTCATTTATATCCAGTAAAACCATCCTGTGCTTTATAAAGTTTGACAAAAACAGTTTTGTCTGATGTCTCTTGCTGAATGTAGCGAAGGCTGGGCTGGTACTTGTAATCCTGCCTCAGCCTCCCAAAGAGCAGGGATTATAAGGCATACCAGCTCTGCTCACTATCAACACAAACGACACAACATTCCCATGCCATCCGTGTCCCCTACAAGCCAGTGACCACTCTTTTCTTCCTCATCCCTCTTCAGGGTCTCACTATGTAGCACTAGCTGGCTTAGAACTCTTTTGTGTAGGCCAGCTCAGCTGGCCCTACATTCAGAGGTCTCCCCACCTGCCTGTGTGCTGCCATCACAGACTAGGATTCTCTCTGCCTACTGTGCCTGACACATCTGTCTTTAAAAGTGATTTCCAATAAGCCACTTTTTGGTGTACATGCAATCATATGACCAATATTAAAAACAGTTCTGGTACTCCCTGAAAAATCTCTTGCAAGTGTCTCCATCCTCATGTTACCATGGCAACCACTGAGCTGCCCACTGTACCAGTTGAAAAAAAAAAAAAAAGACTGGATGAACAAAACAGGATTGGGAGTCATTCCCCTGTTGCTGCTGTGGTCACAGGTATGACAGAACTTGCTCTGCCGTAGCAAACATTCAATTCATTCTGGGCACTTCCAGTTGCCTGAGCTTCCTCAGACACCCCCAACCCCCACCCATTTTCCCAGTGCTACCTGCACTTTCCCATACACACACAGGTCAGATGAGGCTGGATAGGCCTCCAGGGACTTGAGAGCACCACCATGTTTACCACTCTCAGCAGCAGAGCTAACCAAGGGAAGAGAATGAGGACTCCACTCCCGCGTCTGGAGCTCAGGGTCTTACTCACGATGGGCTCAACTGAATGGCTCTGCTGGTTCTCTCTGTACTGCTGGTGTGGGGACCGCAGCTCTCACACCACACGGTTCTGGCTGTGGTGCTCTACACCAGGTCCTTGGGTGGTGTGGAGCTCTGCAGAACAAGACCCAGACCCATTTGGGAAGGTAAACCAGGGACGCTGACTCAGCCAGTGTGTTTGACAGTGCTTTCAAGGGAGACAATAACTAGACCCCTTTGGAATAGGCAGCTGTAAATATGAGGAACTTTATTTATTTTTGCTGACATACTATGCGGCAAAACAAAATTGACACCATACAAAATAACTTTATAAAATATCATTCACATCATATTTTATCAGATTTACAGCATTCTGTGCATGTTAGGGGCTACATAAGGAGGTGAAAAAAAAACACTATACCAAACTTTTAGTATTAGTTTATACACACAGTAAGAACAACATAAGTAGCTGTTAGGTTTCCCATGAATTTATTGCAAAAATAGTGCAAACTATTTAACCTAGTAAGCTGTGAAAACAAACTTAAAAGGACCCAGCTAAGCTTAAACACGACAAGAGATGCGCGGTGTCTCAGCATTCAGCTCTCCTTATCAGCTGTCTTGTCCATGCAGACCACCTTAGGTGAGTGCTGAGAAGACACAAGGCTGCCGCTCCAAGGCCAGGCTCCCAGTGGCCGTTCGCTGGCAGTGCCTTTAGGGTCATGCTACTGACTCAACGACACCATGAGGTCTGTGTGTAAAAGTTAAGATTCCACAACTTTGACTGAAGGAACCCACCCTTGGGTAATGTGGTGAAGGAGATGGAAGCAGCATGAAGGATGTGAGGGACACGGCCGCTGAGCAGTGTAGTACCCTTTCCTCAGGCGTGCTTGGGGAAACACTCCTCAAGTACCACATACTGCAGGGAGCACGAAGAAGGATACTAACTTTTTAAGATTTCCTTTCAACAGACTATTGGGGTCCAAAAAGCATAATATCTGAACAAAATTAAAATACAATGCTACGTAGAAAAGCTAAAACAAAACAAAACACAACCCCCCACCCCAAACCCAAATCAACAAACCAAAATGCAGCACACGCAGGTCTTTGACTTGAGGTACCTATGTAAATTTCATCACCTGCCCAAAGTACTCATTAGATTAAAATAAAATGCTTCCGGCAAGCCAATTGTAGGGCATTGATTAGAGAGAAAGTGCAACAGCTCTGAGCTTCATATCTATATGCAGCATACTAAAGGGGGATTACTCTATAAAATATAGCTTAAGTATCAACCTGATGATGGAGGCTTAAAAACAAAACAAAACCCACACACGTCTAACTAGAATCACCTCTCTTTTTCTTGTTTTCCTTTTTTGAGATCCTGCAAAGGGTAGGGGTGGGGGCAGAGAAAAAGTGGGGAGTGTCTCCCAAATCATTTTTAGGAGTCTTGCCAAGTACAGTTGGTTCTCTTCTAAAACCCAGAGATCTCTTTAAAAGAGTAAGACTATACATATACTCTACAGGGAAGATGCCTATCTTTTATTTTTTATGGGTATAAAATCAAATTCATAAGACTCCAAAATACTGTTACCTCCAAAGAATTGTTAAAAAAGATTGCCATAGTAGGAAATGTCTAGAATTATAAACTGTCAAATATAAAATGTGGAAAGTCATCAATCTCTGATCTTATTTTCTTACCCATCAAAATGTGTTCCTGATTTCAGAAACCATGGGCTGCTCTAGACCGCACATCTTCCCCACCTCCAGCCTGGCCCCCAGACAGCCGTGAGCGTGCCCCTCCTCTACCCATGCAAACCAGGAGATGGAATCCACAACAGTCCATTTGCTGTTCATGTCAGAGGAAAAGGGAAATGAACAGCGAACAATGCAGAGAGAGTTCTTGGGGTTATTTTTTTGGGTGGAGGTGCCCCTTCAATGGCATAGAAATGAAATGATAGCTATGCACACATGCATAGACAAGCTGGGGTATGTTATGTGTAAAATTTGCTCTTGGACACATTTCCCCCTCCTTTTCCCAAGAGGGCAGGCTGGATCCCAACAACGATAGCAGTCGAATGGGCTACATGCATGGTCAGTCAGGCTCCCCACTTGCGGAGAAAATGGCTACTCTGAATTTAAAAAATGCATTAGGGGTAACATAAAAGGCACAAAATAAATAAAAAATATCATTAAATAAACGGAAATGATGATTTCAAGTTTCATGTGGAGTTAGTTACATCCCACTGTTTGGTTACTTTTTCCAATTTAATTTGACAGACTTAGTAAATAGCACCCAACTATTTAACTGAGGTAGATCCACATTGTAAAGAAAGCTGGGTCCCCTCTATCTTATCTCAAGATTGAAGATGCTTTTACAGAAACAAAATTCTGTTGTAATCTATGCAGAAGCAATGACAGGTGGTAGGTAGTACCTGCAGAGAGCTTAACCTATGAGCAGGTTAATCATGTTCCCAGCAGCCAAGGCTCATCAGACTGGAGGAGAGAAATCAGATGACTGAAGATGACCCTGCAAAGGTCTTGAACAGACTGCCACAGAAATGCACATGATCAGCTTTCATCAAGCTACGCCGGGAAGCACAAATGAGGGGAGAAGTGTAACCCTGGCAACAGCCTCTTTAACTCCAGAGGGGACACATGCTGTATTAGGACTGCGTATCTTGATCTGGATAGTGGAAACTCACTCTGCCTACTTTATTTTTTATGTTTATTTTTTGCATACTCTGAAATACACAAATTCATTATCTGATTAAGGCTTAATTTAAAGTGTTATCACTACTGGTATCATGCAAGGGCATCCTCATGGTCCACAGACTGGTTTCATACCGAAGACAATGACATGAAGCCTCAGAATTGGGTTTAGCAGGTAATTTTATAATTAATTATACAATCCATGTAGCAAATGAAAAAGTATACAGAGGGGACAAGGGTTATAAATAATAGTTTACACAGGAACTGTCAATTTACAAACAGCACTGCGTGGTTTCTAAACCGCAAGCACAAGACGTCACACAGATCACTGCACAGGTACAAACGTGTCCATGACATACAGAGTACCACCCGAAACAGGCCCTTTAGCCAGCCACTCCACTTCTCAAAAAGTAGCCAACACTAAATGGATGTAATGCATTTTGATTCAAAATGTCTTCTACATATGCCTGAGTGTGTGTGTGTGTGGCGGGGGGATTAAGACTCGGTGAGGAGCCACTGGGGAACTCCTGAATTCATTTTTGGTTCTTTTCCAATTATTTTATAAAAGATAAAGCAAAACCAGAAAAACTGATAAAACCAAGGGTTAAAACTTCTCAATACACACTAGGCAGGTAATCTGAAGTGTATGGGAGGTCTGGGTTCAGGGCTACATTCTCTTCCTGTATTTATAAGGCAGTAGCCACTTCATTGACAGAAACTTAGAATTATTCTCTTATAACTTTTTGTTGTTGTTGTTGTTGTTGTTAAATAAACTCATTGAAATTGAGTCCTGAAATTGAAATTTCAGTCCTGTGTTTGAAAAGGATTTCAGTGTGGCTGTTAAAAGTTATAAATTCATGTTTTATAACTGTATACTTCTGATTACCTGCCTAATATGTACTGAAGAGTTTCTATCAATTTTTCAAGTTCTTTTATTTTTATGAAATAATTGAAAAAGAACCAAAAATGAATTCAGAAGTTCCCCAGTGCCTCTTCACCCAGTCCTAATTCCCCCCACACTCAAGCGTATTTAGAAGACATTCTGAACATGACTCTGAATCCCTCTACACCTAGTTGCGCTACAACAGACAATCTTGATGAGGGTCGGAGAACACAAGACCAGCAGCCTCTGCCAGTCAACACCTAAGCAATGGCCTTGCATCTGTCTCCCAGCAGAGGTGAGCTGGGTGAGCCTGCATGTCTGGGGTGGGACTGACTGAGGGTGCCTTTGTGGCTGTAAAGTGGCGTCACAGTTTGCAAGAAGGAGCCAAGTGCTGACGAACTTCCCAGGTAGGAAAGACAGTCCCAGCCTGACTCTGAAAGGGCACCAAGGTACAGACTTTAAAAGTGCAAGGGCCTGCCCTGTCCCAACCTTGAGTGTCCAATACAACTTGTAGACTTCACAAGAACTTCTGTCCCCACATGTATATGGCTCTCTGCTGATGGCTGGTGTCGGCGTTCATGTGACCTCTGATGTTAAGGAGGTTGCCCCCACACCTACTTCCTGGTGACACCCTCAGAGAGGAAGGTATTGTCTGGTGCCTTAGCTTTTTAAATGAACTCAAATAAAGGCAGCTCTAAACAAAACAGGAGTTCCTTCAGCCATTCAGGCCCCAGGAATGGAGGAACTAGAACCACCAGGACAAAGAAGGCTTAACATAGCCAGTGTTCTCATGGCAACCAGTTAAATAAAAAAAGTGTTAGCTAAAGACTGCAGTGGCCGGCCAGGGCTTTGGGTTGTTTGGTGTCCCTCACAAGGGTCATGAGAGGGAAGGCTGGTCCTGTGCTGGTGCCCATATGCCTGTGCCTCCCTGCATTCTCACCAAAACCTCAGCCAAGTCAGAGGACCCAAATAACCTGGGGTGCCACAAATACACACACTCCATGCCTCTGCTTCTCCACACAGAAATATGTGAGGACTTCTAAGGGCAGTGCGCTGTCCAGGCCAAAAGTATGCAAGGTGACACACACCGTCTACAATGCATTAGAACTAGACGGGGAGGAGCATACAGAGATAACATTTGACAGAGCTGTCCTGCACCCTTCTACACTCAGGCACTGAAAAACTGTCCTCAAGGTTTCCTAAGCCAACCAGTGGAGGAGTCTGGGAGCTTGCGCTGACTTTGCAAAATTAGCCCAAGGAAGTTTTAAGAAGAGGAGGCCAAGGGGATGCAGGCAGAGCCATGATGCAAGAGGATGACAGCAAAGTGGACAGCCACAGGAGAGCTGGCTAGAGGTGTGGGTCCCCACGACAAACCTGGAGTCAGACCTGCGCTGCCAACACCAGTGGGGACCTGTACTTCCAAAGAGAGGGCCCAGGGGGAGCACAGCCTCAGTCCTTCACTGACACACAGGGTCAAGTCCAAGGCTAGCCACGCCTGCACTATCTGAATCCTCGCAACTGCTGTAAATACATTATTTGCACGAGAGTCAGAGATGGAGCACCTTTATGAGTTTATAGTGTACAAAAAGGAGGACAGAGCAGGAAGCCACTTTCAACCCATTTGTAAGCAAGCAGGGGAGAGGATGCCTTCTTACACTCAATAGGAAAGCAAACCAGGCAGGGGCAGGGCTGTCTCCAGGCTGAGCCACATGTGGCCCTGCAAAGTTGCTCCCACCAGCCTGGAGGATGCGTGTTTCCCACGCAGAGAAGCCCTTCTGCCAGCCTCTCGGGGCTAGAATCTGGTAGCTGGGCAGTACTGAGGAGTCCCTGGTCAGAGACAGCAGAGGGGCTGCCCCAGATCACAGTATGGCACACGCATTTTCAAGCCAGAACTGAACAGAGGAGTTCACAACTCAGTTTATTCAGGCGATATTTTGGCTATATTCAGTGTGGATATCGAGGCTTCAGAGCAAACACAAACCAATGAGAAGTCAGAGGTAGCTTTTATGCATCTGTCTGAAAGGTTTTTAGAAACCACCTTCTGTAGTGATTTGGCTAAGCCGATACATTCAACTTGAGAGACAATAAAAATGGCAGAACAAATCCAAAGACACAAAGTGAAGGCTCTGTAATGGCACTGACCACACACACACACACACACACACACACACACACACACACACACACACACACACACACACACACACACGGCGGTTTGAGTGTAAAAGCTCCTTTAGTTTCAGACACTGGGTACCCTGACCACAGACAGTTCGTGTGGGGCTGAATAGAGCATGGACTTTGCCCCTGCCACCCATGGATGTACCATAAACGACAGTGTGACACAGTAGTGACCTCACAGCTTTAAGTTCAGGACTGGCTAAAGAAATGCAGCGATGGCCTGGTAATACTAGCTGGGCCATTCAGATGCTGTCCAAGCTGACAAAGGCCACATGGAACTAGAATGACATACTTCTGGGGACCTGGCCGATCACAAGAAAACTAAACAGACCAAAAGTACCACAAAGACTCCTAACTAATACGTTTACATTCAAGCCTTCTCTTCAGGTCTTAAAGAGCATGCTGTTTAGAGGTGGAAAACTTTTTGTTGGAAAGCCAGACGAGGCCAGTCCACAATGCTCGAGAGAGCAGAGTCCAGTCCGCACACTCTAGCATATAATACTGAAATGTGTTGGGATCGTAGAAGCAAGGCAATGTCCCAGATCCACATCACTCCTGCCACTGCGAGTCTGTTTACAATCACTTCAATTGAGTACAGCAGATTCATTGCTGGATGTGATAAAGAAAACTGTCACAAGATCAGTGCAATTTACAGGATCAGCACGCCTGCCACAGGATGCCCATGACAGAGCTACACGTGTACTGTCTATGGTGAGCCAGCCAGCACGGTTACTTTGGGGAAGGGTTTAAAACATAAACAAAATGTTTGCATTTGCAAATGAGGCATATGAACACCAAGGGAGTGTAACATCTACTCAGGGCACATTCCTTTTTTCATAGGTATGAAAAATGAGTTAGGGGGAGGTCACAGAAAGGTTGCTTATGGCATATCTGGGGCCACTGGGATTGTCCACTGCCTGTGTAGCAAAATGCCCATGAAAAATCCTTGTAACAATCCAAGAGGTCAGGGCCATGCTGAGGGCTCTGAAGGCTCGTTCCTGTGACCAGCCAGCGCTACCACCACAGGGACTACCAAGAGAGGCCACCTAGCCTCTAAGGACTCTTAGACACTCAGGGGTCCCAGCTGTCAGCTGCATGACTCCAGGCTGATCTACCTTTAACACATTGTATCAAATATAGAATTTGATTGAAAAACTGCTTGTAAAAATAAAATTCAAATCACCCTGCAGATCAATGCAAAAGCATACCACACCGATGCATCTATAAGAAAAACAATTCATCCAGAAAAACTACATCTGTGGCTTCCAAAAATAAAGCATCCACAAGCCTGAAGGTAAACACTGGGTCATTTATAAAAGTTGGGGAAAATAATCTCTACCATATCCATCAGGTACCACATGCATTGGGATAGCCAATTTAACTTAATCAAATTAGAGCAGGAGAGAAAAAAATAAATAGCAACATTTGCATTTAAAAACAATAAAATAATATACAACAACAACAACAAAAACCCTGCCCAACCCCATTGCAGGGGCTATCTTTCTATCAGCGCTCAGTAACAGGTAAACATCAGGGAGCTAGCGGCCTCCCCACTGGCAGTGCCTGTGGCCTGGAGGCCAGCAAGCAGGTGGGTGTGAGGAGTGAGAAGAGGCCAAATCTGGAGAAGGCAGAGAGGACCAAGCAGTATCAAGCGTGCATGTGAGGACTTCCCCAGACAGCCCCTTTCTAGAAGTACAGGTGTGCTCAGCTTAGGGTTGATGGGACTAGGCCAATCTGGGCTTGCAACACAGTGACTGGATGGAGTTTTGCTAGCAGTACTAAGGGTTCATCTACAGACTGGGGCCTCAAGGCCTCCCTAGAGCTTTGAATTGCTTCTTCCGCACAGGGAGAGGCTTTTACATGGTGTACACAGTGGTAAGGAGATAGAAATCATGACTGGTTTTTGAAAAGTGTGTATCTTACAACATACTAGAAAGAGTCCCAGCATGGAAGTCTGATTGGGTAGCCTCTCTTAAAGAGACAGGCACATCCTAGTTTCCCTTCCAAATGGATACATAATCACATTCAGTTTGCTTAAAGCAAGGCACACCTTACTTAACAGTGGGGCTGGGAACACAGCTAGCAAGTGGGCAGTCCTCAACCTTAGCCAGGTAATCCCTCAGGAGATACTCCAGGGCCAGTTGTTGCTGCAGGTGTAGACGGAGGGCTGGCTCCCAGAACTCTGAGGTCTCACACTGTCTCAGAACCTATGCTAATAATAAGGGGAGGGGAGAAGTTGGGGGGAAACAATTATTTACCTGAGAAATTGGAACTCCAGCCATTTATAAACTGCCATTGGCTGTGTGGACAATATGCATCTGAATTCAATCAGGGACATTTGGTCTGGGGACAATTTTCATACTCAAAGTGTCACAAGCATGGGCCACAGCTAAAGTCCTTTAGCCCATCAAAAAGAAAAGTTATCCTTCAAGATGACTAAAACAAAACAAACAAAACTCCCTGCTCAGATTATCTTAGATAATCTGACAGGGCTCCTTCCTGCTCCCTTGGTGACATGGGGACTGCTTCAGAAAGCCTCCAGAGCCATGGGGGTGGGGATGGAGGTGGGGATGGGGGTGGCCTAAAACACAAATGCCCAGCTGGCTGCAAGTGCCAGATCCAAGAGGCTGGCAGCGGCCTGAGAATCTATATTCCAACACACTCACTTGCATGCCTGAGATCCCACGGCAAGGGGCTCAAGACAGACCTTTGAGACACATGGTTTCAAGAATGGCTAAAAGCAATCTAGTTTCAGATTCTAAAGGTTTACCAGTTGAACAAGTTCTTCAGGCTGACCATGCTTGGTGAGCTAAGTGTTTTTATATCCTTTTGGAAACAGTTTGAGAAAGTGCCACTTGCCAATGGGATAGCAGAACACCCCAGTGCTTCTTAGACTAGAGGTTTGTCACTTTACAAGATTTTTAAAGACACAGCGAGAAGAGACTAATGTCATTAGTAAGACACCCACATGCACACACAGATACACAGCCTGCTGAGGGTGTGACGTCCAGGTCACTGCGTCTGCCCCTCCCACCCAGCACGTGGGTGATGGGGCAGGGGTGGCATTGTGTCCTCTAGCATGAGGTGCCAGCCACAGTGGGGGACAGGGGTGGGCACCCTCCCTCCACCGCAAGGTGAGAGGTAAATGACGCAGAACTGGGGGTAGGGCCCATCAGCAGGGGCAGAGAAAACCCACGGAGCACAAAGCAGCACAGAAGCGGGGTGCGTCCCCTCCAGGGACTGTGGTGGGACGGGACGCGGGCCTGATTCTCACTCAGCTTCAGTACAAGCCAGAAAGTCCCACTGGACACAGACACACTGGAGTGGCTGCTGCCACCTATAGAGCCTCTCGTAGTGTCCCTCTCAGGTCAGTGGTCTCTAGGCTGGCAAAGCTGGGTTCGGGCCCAGAAGCAAACACCACCCAGAGTCGTCTGTGCCTTCTCCGCTGGCCTTGCACACCACCAGCTCCTCGGGGACGCCCCGCTCCTACCTTTCAGTCCTGTGCCAGCAGAGCCACCACGCAGGTCTCTCTCCGTTTCAGTGCATAGATCCTATGAAGCCCACCTTCCAAAACTGCACACCGAGAGAGGTGCACTCTTACACGAGAGTTTGCTCCCCGGCAATGGAAGAATAAGTAAGTTCCATTTGTGCTTCATTGGCTGAGTGACACACATGGATGAGGCAGGGAGGACGGCAAATTACTGGCAAGCACACTGTCCTTCCCAGAGGTACAGGCTACACAGTCCACATGGGGGGGGGGGGGGGGAGATACGGTGCGTTGCTGTCATGTGAAGCCAGCCGCATATTCCTCTACTTAAACACTAAAAGCCACAAGAGGTGGCCTGTCTCCAGGCTCCAAACAGCTCCTGATATGTGAAACAGATCACAAGGAGCACCCCATAGTCAACAAAGGAAAACAGCATCTACCTACCACATTAATACTGCAAACCAGATATATATATTCTTCTCTTACATTAAAGACATAACAGTGAAAAAGGATTGTACTGTATTATCACCACAGACCCGTATTCTTTAGAAACTTTGGAAAATAAATGTCACAGTCCTACAGGACAAATCTTATGATTAGACTGTCAGTATATTGTCTTTTTTTTCTCTTTTAAATAAATTTTTATCAAAATGGCACTTATCTGCCAATCTCTCGGACCTGTCACTGCTGTAAACACACGTGACCATCCTCTCTGCTGCCACTACGCCTTCATTCGGCCTCGAGGGCAGGCAGTGGCAGGCGAGAGACACCATGGATACCTAGCAGCCATCTGCCCTGGGGTGCAGAGCACGTGGCATCCCTTAGAACTGAACATTAGTGACAACTTCTTAGGGTCAGGCTTTAAAACCCCAGTGGTGATGGTGCCTTCACAGCTAGTTTGAGCCCATCGATTTCATTGAGAATCAGGTGTTAAAAACGAGTAAATCGAATGACCAAATAAATTAAAAATGTTTTAAAGCCCTGAGAGTTCACAGACTTGCTTTAGGACATTTTGTTGTTGTTTTGTTTTAGGAAACATGGGACTCTTTCAGTGAGCAGCTTATAGGTTTTGGCAAACCACGATTCCTACAATGGGGTCTCATACAGGCCTGCAGCTCAAAATCCAAGTTTGAAATCTGGGACGGAAGGCATTCTGGAAAATGGAGGATCAAATAAAACCAAAGATGTCTCATGTTCGATGCTGGCTGTCACGGAAGGGCTGGGCATCTGTTGGTCTGAGTGTAGCTGGTCTCGTGTGAATCCAACTTGATACACAATCGCTAAACACTACAACATGTCAAGCAAAGTACATGGTGCGCAGTGTGTCCTGGTGGACCTGGACCGCTTTGGCCAGCGCTTGGTGATCTCGCCCATTGCTCTGCCCAGAGGTATGGCTTCCTTCAGCGCTGCAGAGGAAGAGAAAGAGTGCAGCCTTTACTGAACACCAACCCAGGAACAGGAACCAGACACACGTATGGAAAGCAGCACGCTATGGTCACACCATTGACAAGTGGCCAAGGAGATGGCTATTTTCTTCCATGGAAAGCCTTCATCACCGCCTACAAGAAAGCAGCTTGTCTCAACCCCATTTCAGGTGTGATACTCACCTGTCATGCTCTTTATCCACCAGATGGTACCTGGCACGGAAGGCCACCAGGTGAGCATAGTAGGCTGGCGCCGGTATGGACACAGAGCGCGTGCAGCGCACATAGGTGTGACACAGCTGGTAGGTCAGAATCTGCAGCTCGTCAGAAGAGAAGCGATTGTCATCCCAAAGCACGTGGTAGTGAGAAGGACGGCTCGTCCCCTGAAAGAGGTCAGAGGGCCAGAAAGAATAACTACAAGACCTTTACCAACAACAATTATTATCCCTGTTCAAACAGGCATGCTCACACACGCCTCTGGGCCCAGCTCCTGGGAGGCTGGGGAAGGAGGACTCAAATTTGAGGCCATCCTTGGTAAAACAGAAGCACCCTTGTCTTCAACCATTAGACCCATCTATTTTAAAAAGCCCTATATGTATAAAACAGATTATACATTTGTTTATTTACATTACAGGAAAATCACAGCTAAGACATCCCTCTCTTCCTCTCTCCTTCCAACCAGGTCTTGCAGCATTATTCTAGGCTGACCTGCAACCTCCTCCTGCCTCAGCCTCTCAGGTTTGCCTGGCATTACAGGTAAACATCACTATGCCCATCTCATAGAGTACTATTAAATATGGCCATGACTCAAGACAGCAGCAGAGAAGACTTTCAATGTTTCTAAAACTGAGACCCGATGGAAGTCTGAGGTCACTGATGGGGTAGGGTGCTCCACCATCATAGCTGCACACCTGTGCGTGCTAAGATATCACACTGTACCTGACCCCACATCCCATAACTGTGCATCTGATGCAGCAAGAAAAGATAACATTCAGAAGGGGCTGAGTGAAAGACAATGCCTCAGGATACATTAGGTATTCTACAATGTTTTATTTATTATAACAAGAAAAAAATCTCCCATCAAAGGTACATATTAATATTAACATCTAAAAAATAGGAATTGGAATATTTGACGGTGCTTTTCCCTCCAAAGTCTTCTGCAAGGAAGAGTGGCGGCTCCTCCCTGCCTACCGGCTACTAGCCAGCCTTCAAAGCCCTGACTCTAGCATCAGGAAGATGGCAGAATGCTGTCTGCCAAAACAGCCACAGAGCATTCCAGGACTCTCCTGTCTGGCATTTATTGGTAGCCAGTATGCAGCTGAGCATGAGCCCCTCCAGGCCCCAACCACAGTGGCTTCCTGTAGTCTTAACTTCTAGCTCACTAACTGCCAAACAGCATACTCTGCACTTGTTGGTGCTGACCATTGCTGTTCCTTCTGCCTTGGTCTCACTATACCCCACTGGTCCCTTCCTTCTTCTTCTCTCCCAGTGTCTGACCCAGGAACAGTTTTCCGGTACCAAGGCAAGAAGAACCCACCTCTCCTGGCCACAGCATGACCTCACAACATCACAAACACCCCAGACTGTCAAACAGAGCCTCCCTTACCTGGATGCCAGCATGACTGCACAGGTAGAAGTCAAACTCAGTTGGATGAGTGATTTTCGTGTCTACGGTTGTACCTGCTGGAATGTTCCCACTCTTCCCAACCTGCAGTAACAGAGAGTTCATCAGCTGTGGCAGGGTGGGTAGACGGAACTTAAATTGGGCTGGGGTTATTGGTCACACTGCATCCAGACACTACCTTCAATCTGTTTTATGAAGGATCTGAACTGAATAGGTTCCAATAAAATTATGTGGCTAAGAATGAAGCCAACTCCTGATGTCCCCATCCCCACCTCCCAAGCGCTGGAATTGCATTGTGTACCATGTAACCAGCTTAAAACATTTCAATTATACAAACGAAACACAGAGACCCCCTGCTGGCTGTGGTGGTTACTTTGTACCTTTCTTGCTAGCACAATCAATAATGCCATAAAATTCCTCTGCTGTCTATCTATAGATGGGGTATCATGTTGGAGCTCAGGCTGGACTAGAACTCACTGAATATTGCAGACTGGACTCAACTCATGGCAGTGCTCCTACTTCGGTCTCCTGACCTGGGATGACAACAACTCCAGGTTGGGGAGTGGATATGCAGGGCTGGCTTTGAGTCTCTGTTCTGGACCTCAGTCACGTGCCCACGTCTGTCCACACTTAGTACCCGCCCCCACTTTCTTAAAGTGAACAAGCCTTTCTTGCTGTTTTTGGTTTTTTTGGTTTGGTTTTTCGAGACAGGGTTTCTCTGTATTGTTTTGGAGGCTGTCCTGGAACTCGCTCTGAAGACGAGGCTGGCCTCGAACTCAGAGATCCGCCTGCCTCTGCCTCCCGAGTGCTGGGATTAAAGGTGTGCACCACCAACACCCAGCTCTTTCATGCTGTTTTTAAAATCTGTTTGCTATTACTCCTTTACTGTTCTCAGCCACATTTTGAAGGTCTGTGTAGGAACCTTCCTTATAAAATTTTCAGGGCCTGAAGGCTTCTGGCATGGGTGACGTTTAAAAAAGAATTTTGGGGTTTAGCTCCTGAGGTGATTTTGTGAATACATATAACCCCATAAGCATCTGTGACACATTACAAAATTCACTGGCTAAGTGTCACTATCTGTAGGAGTTGACATGGCCAATCTCCTCTGCTCCCCTGGAGGAAGCAGATTTACATCCCATCCTCACAACTTTCTTATTGCCCATTCTGGGGAGGGAAGCTGCCTGGAAGTCCTAAAACCTCTGTCAAGAGAGACACCAGCAACAGGATCCACAACTTCGCCACGTCTCATTTTATAATAAATGCACGCTGGTCTCCAAGCTGAGCTGATGGGATTGGAAACCACTTGGTGTTGTTCAGCTATGAGTGCTCTAGTTTCTGTTTGTTCTATCTCTGGTGCATGAGCTTCGGCAGCACAGAGACAGTGTCCAGCAGTCTTAAACACAGTCTGCACAGAGATCAAAACACAGGGTCTCTACAAGATCAAGGTTTGGAAACCACCCGGGCCTTCCTTGTCCTCCCATGTGAATCTGCCACCTGCTGCTCTGCTCGCCACCCCCATTCCCTGCTTGTACTCATTCTTGCCTGGTTCAGGTTCTGTGACACTAGACTTGTCACAGAACCTTCAAGTTTTGTAAGCTTTTGTTGGGTTATTTTTTCTGTCACTTTTAGGACATCGCACTGGGGACACTGGAGACCACTACAGTATTTTACTGGTAGGTGGTTCCTTTCATTGTGCCAATGGTATAGCTCAGTTTCCCCACAACATTTGTAAACAAACACTGGGCCACCCGAGGCCATGGGGCAAAGCTGAACTGCAATGACCATCACGCAACAGTGTGCTCTTATAGGTAACCTGTTTCCCAGGCAGCTGCGGGCCTCATAGTACATTAGAAGCACAGAAAACACTTTTCTGTGTCTTGAGAGACGGCTTAGCCAGCGCAGTGCTTGCCGTGCAAGCACAGGGACCTGGGTTGAATCACTAGAACTGCCATGAGTTCTGACAGGCTGTTTTTGAAATACCGCTAGATCATTTATCAGATAAAATGATATTTCATGCCTGGATCTTCCTAACCAAAGCCAGGGTGGGTCTCGCTAGACAGCTGAGCCTGGGTCCTCGTTAAGTCCTGTCTCTGAGAACAGTCTCCGGAGATTGTGGCAGCCACAGAGCTGGGACTTACCCGCTCATTCTTGTCTGTGCAGAAGAGGCGTGTATGGTGGCGCTTCTGCACCACGATGAATGTAATCCCTGGCTGATAGTCCTTTTCCAGCTTGATACAGGCCTCTCGGATGGCCAGCAGCTCATGATGGAGGACCTGCAGGGTAGGGGCAGGCATCAGGGGCCTTACTCGGCAGGCAGCTTAGCCAGCACTGGCCAGGTGTACCACTCTGCCTTCTGCTAGCCTTCCTAGTTTCACTCTGTTGCTGTATACTTCCAAACTACAGCCCATCACTGAGAGAAGTAAGGGCAGGAACCCACAGAAAACACAGAACAACATGACTTGCTGGCTAACTTGCTTTCTCTCATTTTTGTTTATTCTGATTAGCCTATAACTCACTACCTAGATATGGATGGCCTTGAACTCACAGAGACCTACCTCCACTGCCTCCTCGATGCTGGGATTAAAAGCATGTAGCACTCTACTCAGTTTAGCTGGTTTTCTCATATAGCCCAGACCCTCTTGGCTGGGGATGGTGCTGCCCACAGTAGACTGTGCCCCCCTATATCAAGCAGCAATAGGAAAATGTCCCACAGATATGCTGCTGACAGACCAAGTTAATTGAGACAACCTCTTAACTGAGGTTCTCCTGTCCCAGACAACTCTACATAGATTTGATGGTAAAAATTAGGGCCAAACTTTTATCTACATAGAGACTGAGGGCCTCCAGGTTTTTTCCTTTTATGTTTTTGGTTTTTCGAAACAGGGTTTCTCTGTGTAGCTTTGTAGGCCAGGCCATCTCAGATTTAACAGCCTCAATCAAACACTGTTTACAATGTTTCAAAAGTATGTCCAGAATTCCAGCAAACAATTCAGTTGTGGGGATTCTGGGATTCTCTGAGCTGAGAAGGGCAGGTCCAACCTCTCTACCAGGAAGGAGTGCATGCAAAGACTGGGAGCAGGGAAGGTTCTAATTAGGGGCAGCAGGGCTCTGGGGCACGGGAATACATTGTGGAAGCTGTCACCAAGGTTCCTGCAGAACACAGCTCTAGAGGTTTGGGTAGGAAGGGCAGAGGCAGACAGGGGCCATGAGTATCTGTTCTGAAAATGAAAAGCTGCGGCTTGTACCCCGGACAGGAAAGCAAAGGCACATGTCCTCTGTGGTACACCATTAGCCATGGTTGAAGCAAGCAGATTCTCAAGCACTTCAGAACTTAAGAAATGCCAGGGTAGACACCAACGCTCCCCAAGTACGGGGCCATCCTCCGCACCAAGTCCCAAGAAGGCATCTGCTGGGACTGGGGCAGGTGGAAAAAGAACTAGGCATGGCCAGCAGGGGGACCCAGGGCAGCAGCTCCGTGAGTTCCAGGTCATAGTGGGCTCATTCTGCTACTGAAGCTTGGCTGGAGTATCTGCAGATCCCCTCTCCTCCCTGCCTTGGGCTCTTATGAGGCCAATAGCTTTCCATACCCATTGTATTGGTACCTGAACACTATCCTCAAAGAGCCCAAGCTGTCATTGGACCCTAAAAACAATTCTCCTATTCCGTGGCCTGGCTCCACCCTTGCCGAGGTCTCCATTGCCCGAGCCTATTTGCACAACTCCACTCCTGCCTTCCCCCACCGTGGGCCCCAAAATCTCATATGGCACAGCCCACCCCATAATCTGCCTTCCACACTGTGACCAGTCCATCAACAAAGGCCAAGAAGACAGTTTGGTGGAGCGCACCTGCTGGAACTGGCCCTCAGAGACGCCGTCTCTGTAGAAGATGATGCGGGTGGGCTTGAAGCGTGTTGATTTGTAGAACTGAATGAGCAGCTCCCGCACCATGGCAGCCAGGTCCTGGATGATCTCCTGTCGGTGCTGCTGTACACGCACAGTAGCACAGTAGCGGTTGGGGTGTGCGTCCATGCTGCCCACAACCTATGAGACACACAGTAAGCAGATGACAAGGGTTTCAGGAGTCCCTCTTCTAGGGTCCTGCTGGACAGCCTATGAAGAAACATCTCCCCACAATGTCCCTCACAGCAGAGAAAGTCACACTAAGTACCTTCTAAAGGTGGGACACTTGCCCCAAAACACACAAGAAAAGGAAAAACTAGGGGCCGGAGAGATGGCTCAGAGGTCAAGAACACTGACTGCTCTTCCAGGGGTCCTGAGTTCAATGCCCAGAAGCCACATGACAGCTCACAACCATCTACAATTCAATCTGGTGACCTCCTCCAGCATGTAGGCAGAACACTGTATATGTAATAAATAAATCTTTAAAAAAAAATGAAAAGGCAAAACTAAACTGGCTGGGCGGTGGGTGGTGTCGCACACCTTTAATCCCAGCACTCAGGAGGCAGAGGCTGGTGAATCTCTGTGAGTTCCAGGCCAGTCTGGTCCATAGAGTGAGTTGCAGGACAGCCAGAGCTGTTAGCCAAGGCTGTTATACAAGAAACTGGGGATGCCTCTAGTGTTTCAAGAGCAACCACCTCTTCAAAAAGCCATATGTACACTGAAGACTTAGTGTCTCAGATTTTGGTTCCTAGGAAGCTCACAGCCTCTTGAAGCAAGCTATTCATGAGGGTCATCTGAAGGAGCAAACCAGACAGCCAGAGTGCAAACCACAATGCTCCAGGTTTCTAAGATAAGGGATCAAGGGTAACTGACTAGCTACAGCTAGGGCCTGCCCATTGCCCAGCTAGGGAAGCACTTATTTATACTTTGAAATCACCAAGGGAAGGGCTGGTCCTGTGTCCCTGGAAAGCAGGTGACCTGCTACTCCTCTGAGAAGTTTTACAGAGCAACATCCCTAGAACTCCTTGCTCTAGACCCTGCTTGGGGTTACAGTTTTTCTCACAGACCCAGAAATATTTCAAGTTGGTATAGATAGAAAGAAATCAACCTGAGTGGAAACCTGTTCCTACTGATTGAGAACTGCGGGCACTGGGGATAAATAAACATAGAGGTTTCTACCCCTGAGAGTTTCATAAAGCCTGGCTCTGGGACCTGATCTTGTCAAACACCCTCCCCACTCTTACCCCCTTCCCCGCCCCTGCCCCAAACACCTCTGAAATCTACTTAAGCCCTAGCAGACGGGCGAACCTGGGAGGGGTTTTCCTGACTGCATCATCAAAGGGGGGAAGACCCACCCCAAATTGGAGTCACACCTCTTAGTGGCAGCCTTTTGCTTTGTCTGCTTGCCCATCCTGTTTGTCCATCCTGTTCTGCAGGCAGATGCCAAGTTAGACCAAAAACCAGCAACTGGGACTGAACTGATTGTTTTCAGTCTTCCATTGTAAGACTACATCCTTAAGCAGGTCCAATAAATCTGTGTCTGTACGTGTGTGTACATGCGCTCCAGACTAACACACTGGTCTAAGCCTCCAAAACCTACAGACAGGACCTGTGCACAACAACCCAGGAAACAACAAAAGCAAATGGGGACCAGGTAGAGCCCAATGTGGCAAAAGACCTGGGATATTGGCCCTAGACACCACTTGCGATCTAAGCCTGAGAATCGTGCAGGGCACACATGACGTAAATGGGGGTTCCTTTCAGTCTGGGAGTTGGAATGGGGTCCTGACTATAGGGCCCCCATACGCTATCCTTTAAGACAGATTAAACAATGATGTTAAGTCTGTTTAGCACCTGCTGTATGCCAGGCACTGAGCAAGAACACACTTCCTTTTACAATCTCAAGGCCGACAGCAGCATAGGTGAAAAGCCCAGAAAGATTAAGCTTAATTGCAGCAGAGAAACAACTCAGCTGGTGTATGTCTTGTAAGTGCTGGGGCCCACTCTAATGGAGGTTGCTACACACAGGCCTTTCGGTCCCATTCCACAGCAGCTGAGAGCTTCTGCGGACTGAAGACGGAGAAACTGATGTACAAGAAGGCACTTGTGGGTAAAGGACTCATGCTTCAGACAAACGACCAAAAGAGCTGCAGCTTCCAGATCTCAGCCACCCTGGCCTCACTGGCTAGAGCGACAGTGAGAGGGTCACTCTGCACTCCAAAGGGCCAGACTTCACCACCAGGCATGGGGCTGGACAGGACACGGCACAGCAGTCTTCTGAGAGCAGGGGGAGTGGTTGCTACCTTGTTGGATGGGGAAGCCCATCTAATGTGCCACAGGCAGCAGGGTAGATGGCAGCCCACACACCCCTGTGATATCCTCAGGGGATGTCACCCTTTTGCCGTTAGATCATGATCTGACCAACCAATCGGGTGAAGTAAGCTCCATGTCATTCTCTTCGCCACACCATTGCAAACAGACCACTGACACTTGAGGGCCAAGGGAGCCCCAATTAGCAAGGCACCAGAAGAGAGCAGGAAGAAAGTGTGGACACTTACAGCAGCAATAGAAGGCTTCTTCCCATCCCCAGCTGGTGGGTGGGTGACATCAGCTCCCAGGAAGATGACAGGCTGCTGGAACACTGGAGGCCTATAAGAAAGTGGGTGTTGGAGGTCCAGGCTTGGGACAATGCATGGATGTCTGACAGCATAAGTTATGCTTGTTCTTCTCTGGGAGGCAATCCTAACCCTGATATGGACATTTTCCAAGAGATCTTCCTGCTCCTACCCCAGTGCCTAGCCGGACGACAGGCACGAACCACCGAACCCAAATATACTGTGCCGGAGCCTGAACCCAGAGAGACATCCCCAGCAGCCCGACAGAGTTCTTACCCTTAAACACATACAGAAAGCCTACTGGGTCAAACCACAAGTTCAGGGTGCACTTCAGAAAGACCTGAGCAGGCAGCCTTCTACATCCACAGGGTACTCCAGGATCTCACCTGCCTATGGCTCACTCTCTCGGGGTTGTCAGAGCATAGAAGGAGTTTAAGGAGCATCCTGGACCGCCAACCACAGCATGCACTCCCAATTCCCAACTCCAAGCATCATCTTTCAGGGCCACCAATTCTGGGTGAGGTCTCCAGATTGGATGTTCACTACCTGAGCCAGTGGTATATATTGCAAAGGTAGGGGAGACAGAGACAACAGCAGCCCTCCATGCACCACCCAGAGGACTATTAGTGTTAGTATTCAGGCCTGCTCTAGCCTGCCCTTGGGGGTCTGACAGGATGCACTCTCAGCTGCAGCCACTAAGAGAACCTCCTGTGCATATTCACTATGTTCCCCTTTAAAAGGGCCACACCCACCTCTCATTCCACCCCCAATCTTCCACTACTCTCGTCCCCAGGGACTGGTCTTTGTCCCCTTTCCTGCCCCTTCTCTCTCCTCTTCCAATAAATCTCCTTTGTGAGTCCTGTTGTATGGTGTGACTTCTCTTGGAGGCTTTTTTTTTGAAAATGACAACACCAGACTTGTCCTGCCTCCTGTATTGTAGGGGCCTGGCTTGCCATATGGTGTCACTAGGAGCAGCTCCTACCTTCATTTCCATTATGACTGCTCTTCTAACAAGAACACAGAGGCCAGGGGCATATACCTACACCCACTATCTGCTACCAACAACCTTGTGGCTGCTATTTATAGCAGGAGAGGGTATTTATCATGGACATCAGAAAGGGGTTCAGCCATCCTGTCTGCCTTCCTTCAATTTTCCTTTTTCCCCATTGTTTTGAGACATAGTGTCATATCTCCCATACTGGCCTTGGACTTCTGCCTCTCAAATTCTGGGATCATTAGAGTACACCTCCACATGTGGTTTCTGCTGTTCTTATCACAAGTCAGACCTCACACATCCCCTTAGGGCCACAGAGACTGGACTCTTCTAAAGGTGGCCTGAGACTATTACACAGACCTGCAAGACAAACTGACATCTGTTAGCATGGAAAGGTGAGGTGTCCAGAAGAACATCACTGTCCCTAAGTGTGTGCAGACTGACTCTTCCAGACAGTACTTTCTGTGGAAGACCCTAGATCATGAGCAGCTATGACACCAGATGAGCACATCTCTACCTGAGGTGCTGTCACATCTGCTTAAAGAATCGGCCACTCAGAGGGGAGTGTGTCTATTGCACGGTCATCTCCCAATCAGTCAGACTCAGCCAAGCAAAAGCACACCTGCCCTTGGCTTCCTCTCATCTTTCATCTGTAAGCCAACAAAGCTTCCCATGAGCCCAGCCTGCTGCTGCCTTGCAGGCTCCTCCTAACTCAACTCCATGCTGTCATGGCAACAAGATTACTCTTTCAAGGTCTCCAGTGACTCCCACATCACTGGGTCCAATGATCAAACCACCAGTGTGGCTCTCTGGCATTTTGTGAGGCAAAACACACTTTCCTTGAGTGGCATGACTCGGCTGCCCTCCCTCTTTCTGTCTATTACCAGTATACCTGAGCTACACCCTGGGCTCAGGGCTCAGATCTTTTTGCCATTCAGTCAAGGGTGCTCATCTAGCCTTAGGGTTTTAACACCAGAAGACTCCTGGGCTCTGACAATGAGCCTCCTCCTATCTCCCCTTCAGTCTCTTCAATCTAGTCCACCCGTCTCTATCTCCAAAACAACCTGGGCGCTTCATCCTGCCTGTCTCCCACAAAAGGCCTCCCGAGTCCATGCCACACGGAAGTCAGTTCTCCAGAACACAGGCTTGTCTATCGTTCCTGTGTCTATCATTACTGTGGTCGGTCTCTTCTTTTGCCTCCACCACAGGCCCACAGTTCAAGGAAGGGCAAACATTAACTTTGTCCTTGTCCTCTAGCCCCTCGGGAGGCCCACAAGGAAGACACAGCTCTACATCCCCAGACCTTAGCCCTATGGGGCATAAGACCCACCAACATTGGCTCCTACATGGTGCTTTCAGTTCAGAGTGCTCTGATCCCAGCAGTAAGCTACCAGGGGAAAAGTGGGAAATACTGGCGTCTACACTGCAGGAATGCTCTAGGACCCAGCTGACAAGTATGGAAGCCCATTTCATAGCCATTCCAAATGAACCCATCTTGACCTCACTCACACTCTTTAGTGGAGCTTGCTGGCCCCAGTATAGGAAGCAGGGGCCACAGAAGCCCCACACTAATCTTCAACTATTAGGAAACCCAGCCACAGCACTCACCCACTCCAGGGGCCCTTGGTTCTGAGGGGCCTGGGACTCATCCCACATGAACTATGGACACCTCTCAGCCCATTGCCCAAACCAGCTGGTGTATGTGCAGGGTGTGGCCACCTCACCTGCCCTGTGGCAGCAGGATGTTGTTGACGCCTCCCAGTTTGACATTGATTTTCAAGCAGAGGTTGGACAGGGTCTGTGGCGTGGTCCTCTGCACATTCTTCATCTGCACGCACTGTGTGGCCATTCCCAGCACTGTGTCTCCCACGCGCTTGACTTCGGCTGTGGAGCAGAGGTGTGCATGTCACGGCTCCCAGCAAGAAACAGCTGTCTTCTGCCCCACATGGACTGCACCGGGACAGTGTTGAGCCATGGCAGCTGCACCAGGCACCTGTACTCAGTCTCCGGAAGATGCTGGCAGATGGAGGGCAGAGCTCCTGGCTGAATCCTGCTTTAGCACTGCCAGAGACCTGCGCCTGCCCCATCGCAGAGGCACATTTCACACCACCCATTTGTGAACCAGGGCCCAGGGTGGGGTGAGCAGAGGCCAGCTATAACTGAAGCTCCATCATTCCTCAACGGGAACAACACCTCATGTTAAGCAAATGCCTGGGTTGCTAAAAATAAAAGCACCGGCCTCCTCAAAACCTTTGGCAAACACAGGACCAACATCAAAGAGCTGTGGGAATTCATACTCCCCATCACCAGATTCCTTCCTGAAGCAGCTGGTCACTGCTCCTCAGGCTGCTCTAGAAACCAGGACTCCAGGGGCAATGCTCATCACATACAAACACTACTGCATCCAGAAAGCCTTCTTTAACTGAGAGGGAGAAGCATGGCCTTCGCTAGTCTGTAATCTGCCTGTGGCTAGACAGACTGGATCTCTACTGCTAACAACATCAAGAAGCCACAGTTGCTTTTCTTGTCTCCTGCACTACCAGACATCTGTGGGGGCAATTGCTCTCACCTTGCAGATCTCTCCATACACCCTCCCTAGGCCTCCTGAAGCGAAGACTGTACCTGATTCATTCCCTTTCCTCTGCACCGAGGAAGGAGCAACTACCCTCTGACATAAAGAAGCCCACCCTTGTCTGGGGCGGTAGCAGGGGGCATACATGCTGACTGAATCCCAGGAAATCAAGAGTCAGTGGGGCTTTCTCAGGGAACAATGGAATATTAGGGGACTCTCTTACACCTGCCAACACTTGTGACACAGCATAAACACAAAACCAAGCCTAAAGATACCTTAAAGTTGCAAGATTCCTGGGACAGTGACCTCATGAAAGACAGTAAGGACAGCTCAAAACATTGACTAGAACAACCAGACTTCCATCTCCCTCTCAGGTGCAGGACTGGGCCAGAAAAACCACTCAGTCCAGTCAACACGAAGGGGAACACAACAGGCAACTCACACCCACTGAACTCTCTCAACTCCCTAAAGCCTGCAGACAGCTGACACCTACCATACACAGGAGTTTTGCCAGGCAGGATGACAACCACCAGCTGCAGGCCAGCATATGTGTTCTTCAGATGCCGGAACATGGGCTCCACACTGTCTGCCCCCTGCGCATATTTACAGAAGCAGGGCTGACCCTGGATAGGCATCCCGGCGTCTCTTGAGATCTTTCTCAGTTGCTCTGTGAAGGACCTGAAGAAAAAGGCAACCTTGCTGAGATGTATAGCGGATGGTAAGGAACCCATACAACCAGGGGTTCTAAATAAGGTTTACAAAGTTAAAGAAAAAAATGTAAAAAAGCCTGTTGCTGGTCACTGTAGGCCCACACCTTTAATCCCAGCACTTGGGAACCAGAGTGGTGGCGCACACCTATAAACCCAGGAGTCAAGAGAAAGGCAGATGGATCTCTGAGTTCAAGACCACCCTGGGCTACACAAGATTGAATCAGTCTAAAAGAGTTAGAGCTCACACCTTTAATCCCAGCACTAGAGAGATATAAAAGACAGAAGCAGGGTCTTCAGTGGTCAGTCTCATTAATCACTAGCCACACTGAGGAGAGGACAGCAGTCCGAGTGAATCTGAGGAGCAGTCTGAGTCGCCCCTTTGGTCTGAGCTGAGGTAGAAGTAAGAGCTAGTGGCTGGCTGCTTCAGCTTAAAGCTTGAACCCCAACATCAGTCTCTGGGTCTTTTATTTATCATGCTATAAAAAAGGTGCTCCGTGAAAATCTGACAACCTGAATTAGATTCCTGGACCTACAGAGTGGGAAGAGAACCAACTTTCTCAACTTATCCTCTGACATCCACATGCGTGCCGCACAAACAAATAAATGTAACCAAAAGTTTTAGCCAAGCATGGTGGTGTGCGCCTTTAATCCCAGCCTTCGGGAGGCAGAGGCAGGGGGATGTCTGTGAGCTCAAGGCCAGCCTGGGTTTATATAACGAGTTCTAGGACAGTTACATAGAGACACTGGAGTGGTGGTGTTGAAATCTCAGAGTGAAGTGTCCACTTCTACTTCCATGGTGACTAATGTCTTTTGAGATTAAGTCAAGTGTTACCCAGACTGGCATCAAACTGTGGGATGAAGAAAATTTTGCCCCTAAGCCACCTGGGGCTGGTTTTTTTACTCTGGTTTTCTTTTTTCTTTTTATTGTTGTTGTTGTTTGTTTTCTGTACTGAAGACTGAGCCCAGCCAGATCCCTGTGTGTGGTCAAATGATCTGCGACTGAACTGGTAATGCCTGCACTTGATGCTATTTTAACCTCACTGCTCAGGTGCTCTGGACTCTTCTCATCTCCTGTCCTGGGAGTCAACCTGGGCAAGTGTTCTTTGTTAGAGAAAGGCTGCCAACCGCCGACATCAGAAGCCCACGAGCCATTTAACCGACAGAAACAAGAGCAGCGCACGGAGGTCTCTCTCGGCAGGCTTACTTCAGGTGAACTTCTGTGCACTGGCGCTGGGGAGCAAAGCAGGCAATGGCCCACACCTTGATCTCGATGCCCGTGTGGAACTGCTTGTTTCTCATGTCCCACACACCTTGCACAGGGGTAGCGATCGCTTTGTTCTGCAAATACAAAGTGGTTTGGGGTGAGGAAACAAATACTAACACTCTTGCTGCTGGTCCAACTGACCAAAACAAGGATTCCTAATGCCTAGACCACGACTGGCGTGTTGCCTCCTCCTCTCTAGAATCCCCTAACTAGCACTGTAAGCAGCCCCCACACTTGTACAGCATGATGGGTTCTGGATGGAGGGTGGAAAGCTAGATGTGTAATGATTTTGTTATGGAATTTCTGTCATCGGTCGCTAGCCAATAAAGAGCAGCGCTTTGGTCCAAGAGGTGGAGTTTTTATTGGGAAAGGACTTGACCGAATGAAAAGGCGAGGGGGGATAGATGTGTGGGGCCTCTTGCTATCCCTGAGCATGGCACATGCGCTGAGCCAGCCCCACCGCCATCCGTGTTCCCCACGCTCGCCCTGGTTATTTCCGTGTGTGCGTGCCTGGTGGCCCCAGTGGTCTAGGCACTTATAGCTTTTTGCACACAGGCACTGGGACAAGTTCTTGTCCTGGAGCAACATCCAATATACTCCCCTCCCCCCAGTATGGCTTCTGCTGGGCTCATACGCTAGGGCAGAATCTGGTCCCCCCTTTTGAGCCTTAGTGCCCCACGTCCTCCACTATATCTAAAGATCTCCAGTCCTCCAAGCATCGGCTCCACCTGCTGGTCAAAGGGAGGATAGACATAATAGGTTAAAAAGCTAGATTATTAAATCTACTTTCTAACTAAAAAGGCAACTATTAGTTTTAAATAATTTACATTGGTAAGGATTCTTGTGTATTGATATGAATTTAAGGCTACTTTTGTTATGCTGTATAGATGTTTCTACTTCTGTTTAAGATATTTTTGTATACTGAAACACATTTAAAGGGTTTTTTATTGTATATACAACTTTGAGGCTATTGTCCTTAAACTGCATATCTGTTTCCATTTTGCTTAAGGTATTACCTATACAGCTTGTACCTATACAACTTGTTTATTTTTGCAATGGAAGTTTTAGTTCTTAAAAGCTATATAGGATAATAAAAGAGATGCAGGTTAATATGTACCCATAATTATCAAACTTACTCATATTGGTTAGGTTTTCCAGGCATACAGAGATATGTTTCAAATAGATAGGTAATCTTCAAATGCTTAAAAACATACAGAATATGGCATTTCAAACGTTTTAATAACTTAGACGTTTCTTGACATGAGACATGTCTGCTTCTGGCAATACCAATCTACTTCGAGAGGCCATGTTAGGCACTGAAGACACTCCATATGGAGTTTGCTTTCTTTCTGGTACACACCAACCTTTAGGACAAGAAACTGCCCTTGTCTCGACTGCTAGCAGTACACTGTGGGGACTGGACAAGCAGGACCCAAAGAAAGGCGACTGCCAAACTTTGCCAAGACAGGCTATGACAGTCCTTCAAATCTTCCTGCTTCTGAAAAAGGTCTGTCAGATATTCTAGGTCTGTAGGACAAAGTTGGATGCCTCAACATTGCAGAGGAAACTTCGGTGACCATCCAGGCAGCCACCTGTTTCTGCCATTTCTCATTTTTTAGAAGTCACTTGCTTGTACTTCCTATTTACTCTGGTAATATTTTCCTCCTCAGGTCTTTGATAGGGTTGAAAACTAGACAGTTAGTGACAGTTCTCCCAAATCTTGGCTAAATACTTACTTATTAGGTACAAAACTTTGGACTCTTCAGGAGAGGACAGCTATTGGAGTAACGGCTATAATTTTGTCAATTCCTTATAGACTGGACATTTAGAATGTATTTCTTACTTAATAATTGTTCTTGGATGTGATTTCATTTTTGTTAGGGTTATTATCTTTCCTTTCTATCCGGACAACACTTGATAATAATTCTTTTTTTTTTTTGGTTTTTCAAGACAGGGTTTCTCTATGTAGCTTTGGAGGCTGTCCTGGAACTCTCTCTGTAGACCATGCTGGCCTTGAGCTCACAGAGATCCACCTGCCTCTGCCTCCTGAGTGTTGGGATTAAAGGCATGCACCGCCAACACCTGTTGGTAATAATTCTTATTGTATATAGTTTATTATGTTAGGGGTAGAGCCTTTCCTTCTTCATTAGACATAAAGGGGGAAGGAAATGTTACAGAATCTCTGTCACCAGTCTGCTAGCCAATAAAGAGCAGTGTTTTGGTCCAAGGGGAGGTGTTTTCCCTGGGATGGCGTGATCAGGTGAAAAGGTAGGGAAGAGAGGCCCTTTTGACAGGAATGAGCAGAGCATTCAGTGGCTGTGGCTCAGTTCTGATTCCCATTTGTCTTGTGATATTTGTACACAGATTTTCTTTACTAGTGAATGGTAAAGTAACCCATTGAACCTCCCTTTTCAAAAATGGCTGGCTGGACAGAAGATGAACTAGTAGGTGGATGGGAATGAAAAGTCAAATGGATGGTTAGAAGGAAGGAATGACTAAGTGAGTAGAGCTTGATAAATGGATGAGACTAGGTAGAGTCAGATGAATAGATGGTCAGATGAAAAGATGGGCGTGAGTAGAGTCAAACACCATCTCAAACTCTAAGCCAGGTGGTGGCGGCACACACCTTTAATTCTAGCACTTGGGAGGCAGAGGCAAGTTCCAGATCAGCCTGGACTATAGAGTGAATTCCAGGACAGCTAGGTCTGTTACACGGAGAAAATCTGTCTCATAAAACCAAACTGAAACAAAAAACTAAACCAAAACAAAAAAACTCTTTAAAGAAGGAAGCGAAGTTTTGATGAGGTAAGACAGACTTTTAGAAACACTAAATGCAATTGTGTAAACTTTTAAAAGAGTGTAGAAGATAAGAGTATTTGTTACCATGGCAGCCATCTGCAGTACCCAGTGTTTACCCCACAGGTAAGGGTGGCTACAACCACAAAACATACATGGCTATCCTTCCTGCACCCACCCACACACCCACACACACCCACCCACACACACACCCACACACACACACCCACACACACGCACACACGCACCCACACACACGCACACACCCACACACACCCACACACGCGCACACACACACCCACACACACGCACACACACGTACACACACACCCACACACACCCACGCACACCCACGCACACACACACCCACACACCCACACACCCACACACCCACACACGTACACACCCACACACCCACACCCACACACCCACGCACACACACCCACACACACCCACACCCACACACACCCACGTACACACCCACACACCCACACCCACACACACCCACACACACCCACACACACACACACACACCACCCTCTGTACCTACCCTGCCCCCGTAGAGGATGGAGGGCGGCTGCAGAACACGCCCTGTCACATCCGTCATCTCATCTTTGACCATGATTCCAAATTCACGGACATACGGGTCTGTATTGAAACTTGCACTTCGCATCTTGAGGAAGGAAAAAGAGGAAGAGGAGTCAGTGGAGGCCTCTCTGCTCCTTCCAAGGACCCTCTCTGCTCAAAGCATAGGGATGTGTTGATGGGTATCCTTGCCAAAGTGTCCCAGCCGGAAGGAACCAGAAAACCTAGTGCTCACCAATTTGCTGATCTCCTCTTGCCGATCGGGTGCCGACCTGGCAGTTGCTCTGATCATGGTTGAGGTCTGATTGTCTGTTAATTTTTTTATACATCTCTGTCCAGCCACTATGTTACAGACCTACAAAGAAGACGCACATATGTCAACACAGGTGTGGTGTGGTAGGGAGAGAATTTCAGAGGCTCAGTGTACAAGCCAAAGCCCTAGCCAGTGGTGGGGCTGCTCCATAGCCTACCACTCACAACAGAACTTGTGGGTAAGTCTGGCCTGACAGATCCGTGTCCTTCAGCTTTGGTGGCACTACTAGGAACGGGGAGAGGGGACAGTAGTGGCAGTCTAGAGTCCTGGATTTGAACTGGGCATAGAGTGGCTCACATCTGTTGTTTGTGCTGGCTAATATTACATCAATTTGACACAAGCTAGAGTCACCTGATGAACTGCTTCCTTAAGATGGGGTTGTAACCTCTACCCACCCCACACCCAGAAAATAAGTCTAAACAGGAAACCATCAAAGAGAACTCTTAAGAATCATGACAAGGATGCTGAAACATAGCTCCCCACTATTGAGGGCTTCTGGCGGGGTGCAGGTGGGGAAAGACATGTTTTCTTTAGTGGCTGGCTCCTGGGAGTTTGACCGTGAGTATATAGGCAACACAAATTGGACTTGTGTTGTTTTGTTCTGGTTTTTCTTTTTAGTGGTAGGGGTAGGGGGCCTCAATGGTGAGAGGCAGATCTTTAAGACTAGGAAGTGAATGTGATTTAGGGAGCATGATAAAAAATTCCCAAATAATAAAAATATTATGAGGGGAAAAAAAGGATTGGGTTGTAGGCAAGCTTGCAAGGTATTTTCTTAATTTGTGATTGATGTGGGAGGGCCTAGCCTATTGGGGCTGATGTTACCCCTGGACTGGTGGTCTTGGGCGCCATAACAAAGCAGTCAGAGCAAGCCATGAGGAGCAAGCCACAGTTAGCTGCACACCTCTATGGCCTCTGTATCAGTTCCTGCGCCTCCAGGCTCCTGCCCAGGTTGAGTCTGCCCAGACTTCCTCAGATGATGAACAGTCATAGGGAAGGGTACAGGAAATAAACCCCTTCCTCCCTAAGGTATTTTTGGTCATGGCGTTTCATAACAGCAACAGAAAGCTCAAGGAAGACACCAATCATTCCCAGGCTCACAAGGCTGAGGCAGGTAGGATCTCTGAGGAGGGGCATAGCCTGACAGACATAGTGAGAGTGTACCTAAGAAAGGGGGTGAGGGGACGGTCGTTGGTGGCGCACACCTTTAATCCCAGCACTCGGGAGGCAGAGGCAGTCGGATCACTGTGAATTCGAGACCAGCCTGGTCTACCGAGCGAGTTCCAGGACAGCCTCCAAAGCCACAGGGAAACTCTGTCTCGAAAAAAAAAAAAAAAAAAAAAAAAAGAAAAGAAAGAAAGGGGGTGAGGAGAGTCCCACCCAGGCTGCTAATCTCATGCCATTTCCAGGGGTGAGCTACACAAAGGAGACAGATCTCCACAATGCCATGAATCGGCTGGGTCCTACAGCACAGTGAGGCCTGGCTGGACTGGGGCTTCTCCTCCCCAGTCAAGCGTGTAGTGCAGACTTGCCTCCAAGGGAAGGTAGGTGTGTTTCTGCTCCTGTCCAACTTGTAAGCACGGCAGGTGGGGATAGCGCAGAACCAGCTTGTGCCTGTCCTTGAAGTACTGGGCCACCGTACACTCCACCGTCTGCCCACTCTCCTGCTGCAGCGGGAACCTGCAGAAAGAGGTGACTCAGGCAAGAACCTCCCAGGTTCCTCGGACACTGGAACTCCAACACACCTTTCCAGGACCAAGCATCTCCACGACTATTCTAGAGCCCCTCAATTCTCAGGCTGCCCATGCCTGTTGGGAAACAGCAACTACCTACATATCTAAGAAACACACAAGGCACAGTTTCTATGAAACAATTCAGGAAGATGAGTCCAGAAAAGTCTATTTCCCAGCAGACCCCAGTGACTCTAAGTAACTCCTAGACATTAAAGATCCCAGTGCCAGAAGAAACTGAAACCTTCCAGGTAAGAGCATGAGGAGATTACCAAGACACATTAATAGGGGAGGTGAGCTATGTGCCACACACAGGCGGATGACAGCTCCCAGGTGGGACAGGCCATGTGTCTCACCACTCCTGAACTGACTCTTCTGTCAAGAAGCCAGGTAATCTGTCACCTCTTGTCTAAGGGCAGGTGACAGGACACAGATCTAGTCCATCAGACCTTGCTGCCGCATGAGGACTAGGTATCTTGGTACCCTAGCAACAGTCTGTTTTCTGTGAATGAACCAGTCAATTGTATGCTTACCACTAGGCAAATAACAGCATGATTGGACCTAGTTAAGAGATACTTGTTAGCCCTTGCAACTGCCTCAGCCAGCAGGCCGAGCCAGCACAGGCGTCCTCGCTCCACCCAGACTCAAGGTCACATCCTCAACTCAACTCCCCTGAGCACATGGGATTTCTATGTTGGAAATCATGTTTGTTTTTTAAAAGACTTATTTTATGTATATGTCTGTACACCAGAAGAGGGTATGGGGTCCCATGGGACCACGGTTAAAGATGGCTGTGAACTGCCATGTAGTGGTAGGATTTAAACCCAGGACCTCTGGAAGAACAGCCAGTATACTTAACCACTGATCCCCGTAAATTATTTTGGTGGCACATGCCTTAAATCCCAGCATGCAGTAAGCAAAGTCATCTTTGTGAGTAGTTTCAGGCCAGCCTGGTCTACCTATTGAATCCCTGTCTTAAAACAAAACAGGGTTGGAGAGACGGCTCATAGAAGAGCACGGGCTGCTCTTGCAGAGGACCCAGGTTTGGTTCCCAGCACCCACACAGTGGCTCACAACCACCTGTAACTCTTGTTCCAGGGATCTGATGCCTCTTTCTGGTCTCCATGGGGACCAGGTATACATACGGTAAACAGACATACATGCAGGGAAAACAATCCTACAATAAAGATGCAAATTTAAAAGCAAAAACAAAAAAATTCCAACTTTTTCTATTTTAAATTCTGTGTGTGTGTGTGTGTGTGTGTGTGTGTGTGTGTTGTGCACACACACGCGTGGATATAGGTACCAGGGCAGTCAGTACATAAGAGGGCACTGCAGCTGGAGGTACAGGTGGTTGTGAGCTGCCCAACATGGGTGCTAGGAACCAAACTTGGGACCTGGAAGGGCAATATACACTCTTAACTGTGGAGTCATTTATCCAGCACCTAGGGTTCACTTTGTAGAATGGAAAGTGAATGAGTCACAAAGGTAGCTACTAGATTTTAGGAGCACAAACAAATCCTTGCAGGACAGTCCCATGACTTCCAGTGACTGGGAACCTGAGTGACAGGATCAGCCTGAGCTGGGAAAGAGGGATGACTCTTCAGCTGCCTTACGTTTGGTGACTGGCAGGCCGACGGGTCACATTGCAGACACGGTACTTCCTCTTCATCTGACCACAGTGCGTTATCTCTACCTTTAGACCTGGTGATAGACAGCAGGCGTCAGTCACTCTTGCCATGCACCTACCGCCCAAACCCCAGTGTGGAATCAGTTTCCAAACATGGCAGCTCTGACCACATTTGAAGCCATGGGCTTCCAGAGCCGAGAAGTAGGAAATGCGGGCTTATCCTCAGGATGCCATGGCTGCATCCACCTTGTCCTGAGAGGCCTTCCGCCAGCACAGCTCAGCAGTCAGACTTAGGTGATCCTAGCCCTGAGTCTTGCGGCTCGGATAGGGCGGGCATGCCAGCTGCTTCCACCCATGCAGCTGTGCTCGCCAGCGCCATGGGCCCCTCCACGCGAGTCCCAGCTGTGTCAGTCAGTGTGCCTTACAGATCACGCTTTCCCCAGCCCCCACCTCCCTTGTCTCACCGGAACAAGAACCCGTCCATGAGGGAAGGGACCTCAGAGGGGCCTTCACCCCCTAGTCTTGCTGCTGTGGGTGATTCTTTACCTTTAATTTCTTTGGTAAACTTTACCCTTTGGGAGTCTGTCAGAGGTTTTTGTTGTTCTTCAATACTTTTAAAATCCAAAACTTCACAAACGAACTCGATCACCGGCTGTGCCTTGTAAAATGCTGTTGCTGATACTGTGTGCAGGAAAAACAAGAGACAGACAAGACCATCTAGAGTAATCCATGTGACTAGTAGCAGGCAGCTCAGGAGGCCTGGCCTCAGTTTCTCCTCTATGCTCCCCACCTCTGTAATGAGAAAACCAATGTCCACTATGCCCAGAGATCCACACTGACCAAGGACAGTCCATGCTTTTCTCTAGCCATAGGCAATGCTAAGGGATTGGCTGAGTCTGAAGAAGTTACTCAAAGAGCTACTGTGGTCTTGAACAAGTCTATCCTGACAGAACAGCCAGGACCTTGGAACCTGTAGGCTTTTCTGGCCACCTACTTCTTCTTCTTCTTCTTCTTCTTTTTTTTTTTTGGTTTTACGAGACAGGGTTTCTCTGTATTGCTTTGGAGGCTGTCAGTCCAGCCTGGCCTCGAACTCACAGAGATCTGTCTGCCTCTGCCTCCCAAGTGCTGGGATTAAAGGTGTGCGCCACCACCGCCCGGCTCTGGCCACCTACTTCTGCGAGAGGCATTTCTGAGGTTTTCCATTCATGCAATTTCTTTTGCAATCAGTGTGAGCCTGAGCAAGGTATGACCTGGGGCCTTCCTGGAGCTGCTGCCAAAACTTATCTTCTATGTGAGAGGAGACATCAATCCTTCTGATTGGTCTCTGGCAGAGGGAAGTGCACGAAATATGACACGTGAGTTTCTTGAAGCAGGGAGGAACAGAATGGGAGCTACAGTGTACTCCCATCACTGAGAGCTAACTGGATGGCGGGGCTCTGAACCAACCAATACAGTGATGGGAGTCAGAGTTGAATGGCATTTCTGGGAGGCTGAAAAGCTCATTTGGAGGTCTCCTGACTGGAGAAGTAGACGGCTGTGGGTGTACCTTCAGGGAAACTCTCACCCCTGGCCTGTTTCCATCCGCCTCCTTCCCAGGCACCATGAGATGAGCAGCTATGCTGCATCACAGCCTCTCTGCAATGGTGCTCAGCTTCAGAGTGACAGCATCAGATTATTGTGGACTGAGTCCTCTGAAACCCTCAGTCAATCTTTCCCACTTTAAATGGTTTCTTCTAGGTACTTGTCAAAGCTGGAGGATCAACAGATAATGGCCATCCATCCACTGGCACCTAATGGTGTCCTTCTCTTGGTGTAAACAACAACTTGAGTGATCAGGAAACATGGAGAGAAAGTGAAGGGTGTGGCCCCAACCCTAATACCTGTGGTGTTCAAGCAGTGCAAAGGGCCTGCCTGGCAGAGGCAGCCCCCCAGGCTGCTTCAAGGGCCCCTGGGAATGGAATACTCCAAAGGCTCCGATATCCAAACACAAAGCCCCTCAGATATCAAAGACATGGTTGGCACAGGCTGGGAACACTCCACATCTCCAGGCTTCACCAACGGCTAGAGACGGCTAAGAGAATCCTTCCTGAGGTCCGGCCTCCTCTGAATGCTTTCAAATCTCCTTCTTAAGCAATGGAGGCTGCACGGGCCCCATTCACGCTGCAGTGAAGCCCTTTGGCTTTTCTTACCATCAATATTCAGCATCATCTTCCAAAGAGAAGGTCGGACGGACTGATGGAAGCCAAACCATACTTCTCTGCCCCCACCCAGGGGGTTGGAGCAGCCTTCAGACGCAGTGAAGAAGGAGCGGCCCACAGGGGTGTACCTGCCAGGGAGACAAGCCCCTCCTAGTCAGACAGTCAGTCAGGAAGGGCCAGGCTGACTCCACGCCTCTCCTCCTGTCATCCCAGCAGACACACCAACATTCAGAGACCATTCTAGGTTGTCTCCTGTAAAGTCATGCTCAATCTATGGAGTTGTAGTCTGCATCCAGACAGTGTAAGCAGTAGCTGATGGAGGTGTGAGGGGACCTCTCAAGGCTCAGTGTCAGTGTGAGACAAGATCCGCTGGGGTTCTAGCTCAGCCTCACTGTTCCACACTTCAAAGGTACCTTCCTTATGACTCTCTCAAAAGGACAAGAGTTAATCCGGGAACAGGCTCTGCCTACATCTGTGGCTTAACCCATGCAGAATGCAGGCTCTAGCTAGTGCTTCCCTTCCCTTCCCCTCCTCTCCCCTCCATTTTCATCTTACACTAGACATAGCTGGGCAGACCCTTTCAAGTTTTCCTAGTCCAGGGCTGTGCTATGGAGGCAGGAGCAGCTGGAGCAGGCCAGCTCTAAGTAGCCAAACTGCCACTTCTGTGTGCCTGAGAACCACCATGTAGCTGCCTAAGCGGACACCTGGTCCCTGTTCATTGTAGTTCAGGCACCAGAGGCAGGAAAGAGTCTGTGGACAGCTCACTGCTTCCGGAGCCTGCTCAGTAGTGTAAAGATCCACAAGGCCTGCATGTCAGTTCTGGACACAGACCCGAGCTAGAGCCCACCTGACTGCTGTGGGCACGCTTCAGTGCATCATCTACAGACTACAGGGCACGTGAGATAGTGCCAGCATTCAGGACGCCAAAGGAAGACACGGTGTTGGGCTGTGGTAGAGCTAGTGCTGTTCATTAACGAAATTATGGAGCGTGTCCCTCTCCCATCTCATTTTCTGCCCATGCTTGTTAATCCTGTTGTGTTATGACAGCCTCCTGACTGTAAAAAATCAGTGTAAACAATCCAACGGAATTCAAGAAAGGAGTCATAGGAATTCTTGCTGCTCAATTAAAAGTATAGACAATGTGGCCGGTGAGATGGCTCAGAGAGTAAGATTGATGACCTGAGTTCCATCCTCAGGACCCACATGGTGAAAACAGGAAACTGATTCCTGTCCTCTGACCCTCCCACACATGTGCACACACACACACACACACACACACACACACACACACACACACACTGGTGGCATGCACACACACACACGCACACACACACACACACACACACACACACACACACACACACACACACACACACACACACAATAAAATGAATACTAGTTTGTTTTTAAGCCACCACTCCAGGCTATTTCTGTGCTGACCTGCCTCCTTCCCTCAAGAATTCTTAGCAGTGACAGGCAGGCCAGGGCCCTGTCCAGAGTGACAGCTGGCCCTGGGATGTAGTCTCCTCTATGTGTAGATAGGAAGCCAAGGGAACACCCAGTTTTCTCCAGAGCACACAGGGTCAGCCCCGGGCCTGACCACTGAGCTTTCTTTCTGCTGCTTACTTCTGACCTCCCACTCCATTTCCACCATTCCTAGGGTTCCACCGTGTGCCTTGGGTGAGAACCAAGTTTGGATGTGGCTTCCTGGCCTTGGTCCCATATGTTCTGTCTGGCAAATGGGAAAATGATGAGCCACAGCAATGACTCCCACGCCCTGCTAGGTGTGGCAAAGATCGATCCTCTAATGAAGCAGGGCGATACTCTGGTGCTGCTCACTGTCATAAAAGTCACAGAAGTTTCCCAAGGATGGTGTTCAACGAAGCACGAGGTGGGTTTCCACTGTGGCATTCAAGTGCTGCTCTTGACCCTGCATGGCTGTGGGAACTCAAAGCCAGGAGTCGAACCTGCCACGAGCCTGATACCACCCTCTCCCATCTTGGACTGTTTGCTCCAGAGATCGAATGCATGGCCATCACCACCAGATCCTCCTCCTCCCTCCCTTGCTCAAGATCTCAATCTTTCTGAGAACACTCAGCTGGTGACCCTTTCTCCCCACCCACGTGATGCCCTCACCTCATGGATGGCAAGTGCCTCATGACAACGTCCAGGGCCTGGATCGTCTCAAAGGGGACGCTGGGCAGCCTCCCCGAAAGTGCATCGTGTAAGGCCTGCAAGCTCACGCATGACACCCACTTGATGGACACCTTGAAGATGCGATCTTTGCCTTCTCCTGGCAGCGTGACCTCCAGTTCCACCTGAGAACCAAAGCACAAAGGTCATCCTCCCAAAAGCACAGGAAATTAAATTCTCACCCTTGTTCTGTGTAGGGTGTGCATGCGTGAAGGAAGTGAGAGGCCTACACTAGGTGTCTTCCTCAGCTGCTCCCCATTTTATGTCTTCAATCTTTCTGTAAACCTGGGACTTGGAGAGCTAGGCAGTGAGCCCTGGGGGTCTGCCAGGCCTGTCCCCTGCACCTGGTGCTGAGGACAGAACTCAGGTCCCACTGCTTACCAACTGACCCACTTCCCCAGCCTCAACTGTATTTACTTTTAGCAAATGTGCAATCATGCAGCTATGTGACCAGTGGTTAGCATACTGGACAGTGATCAAAATGCGTGCAGGTCAATACTCAGCACATGAACTCTCAGGACTCCCCCAACATGCCCACTTTTCTCCTGTAACAGTGCCCACTCTTGGATCATGTATGGCCCACATGACTCTGGCCCACAAACCACTGGCTTTGTTATCTGTTGACATGTCCGTGTTCTTGGAATGCCTTACTCTTTAGTACCCAACACTTCCAGCAAGAAGACTGGTTCACCTCATCTCATATGCATCACCAGACAGTGAGATGGCAAACAGCCCAAGGCCTCGGGGCCAGCAAAGAGCAGGGAAGGGACTGGCTGTGGGCTGGCCTACTGCCACTACTCACTGGGAGACACAACCCAGATGTGTGTCCAGAACCCAAGAACGGCTGCTGCATCACAGGGTAGCAACCTAGGTAGGGAAGACAGTGAGTCAGCTACAACTCAAACTCTGAAGACACTGATACTGAGCTATGCAGCACTTGTTTGGACGTTCATGCAAGAAGCAATCAAATTGAGATAAAAATAAGTGCATTTTGGCACAGCACACTACTAAGAAACAAAGGAGGAGAAAACTGCACCCTGACACAAAGAAACAGTGTTTGGGGAGGTTGTGGACACACAGAAGCAGCTGTGTCTTCAAGGCTTCCCTGTCCTCAGCTGCAGGGCCACCTACCCTCATCCCCATAGATGGAGTGACAGCACCAGCAGTTGTCTGGTGTCATAACCACTGTGCTAGCCAGGCTAGAGGGACAGCTGCAGGGCTTGGTGCCATGCATCCTTTCCTGATAGGGACGTGCAGGGCATATCCTATTTCAGCCCAGGGAGCTGCGGTCTAAAGGTTCTCTGGGAAAAGCCTGTGCTGGAGAGGTGGGGTTTTATTTGTTTGGTTGGTTTTGATCAACTTGACACAACTAGAATCACCTGGGAATAATGAACAATTGAGGAATTGCCTTTATCAGATTGGCCTGTGAGCATTTTCTTAATTAATGACAGATGTAGAAGGGCCCAGCCCACTTTGAGTGGAGTTGCCCCTGGGCATGTAACCCGGGTTGTATTAAAAAAAAATATCAAGCTGAGCAAGCCAGTGATTCACGTCCTTTCATGGCATCTGCTTCCAAGCTCCTGCCTTGGCTTCTCTCAATAATGTTTGACCTTGAAGTTAAATAAACCCACCTCACCCCCTAAGTTGCTTTTGTTTTTAATCCCAGCAAAGAAATTGAAGAAGAATAGAAACTGGGTGTCAGGCTGGGCAGTGGTGGTGCATGCCTTTAATCCCAGCACTTGCTAGGAGTTTGAGGCCAGCTAGGTCTACAGAGCAAGTTCCAGGACAACCAGGGCTACACAGTGAAACCCTGTCTCAAAAAAAGAAATTAGTATCAGAAGTGGGGTATTGCTGTGATAAACGTGGCCATGTTGTTCTTGTTGGAAGCATTTGGAGCTTGGTTGGAAATGCTCAGAGCCTAATTAATGAGCTGCTGTTGCGGGAGCTTGGAAGAATGTTGCAGACAAGGGAAGACTGGCTTGTGAAGTTTCGGGGGAAACCTTTTGTGCTTTATTGAAACAATTGGTGCTGGTTAGCTGGAGCCAAAGAATCAGCTGTGATTAGTAAGGAGACTTTCTTGGTTAATGACTGATATTGGAGTGCTCAGCGCACTGTGACCTGTACCACAATTAAGCAGTGTCTTGGGTTGGATAAGAAAGTCAGTTGAGCAAGACATGGAGAGCGAGCGGCTAAGCCTGGTTTTCCGTGACCTCTGTCCCTGCTTTGCATTCCTCTCTGCCTTTCCTGGTGATAGATTACGATCAGGACATGTGAGCCAAGTAAACCCTTTCCCCTCCAAATTTTGTTGGTCACGGTGTTTATCAACAACAGAAAGCAGACTAGAACAGTGTTCCTCCAAACACCTGTACCAAAACCAGTTTTCCTGGTGCATGTGAAGTGTTATGGGGACTCAGAAGCACCCTGGCAGACACAAGGGTGGATGTATGTAGGCTTATCTGAGTTCTTTGCAACATGACCCTAGTGCAAAAACACCACAGGGTTTCCTGGGGATGTCTCCTGTGCCTCCCCTCCACAGCACCTCCTGGCTACAAGTCATCTTCAAGTCAGCTTAGCAGCCACAGGCTCCCATCCATGAGCTGGATTTCAGCTGTAACTTCCATCTAGGAAGGGAACCCTCAACTCTGGCCCAGGAGGCAGCAGCTCAGAACCTATAAACCTGTAGGCAGCTGACAAAAGAAAGCATTGGCTCAACACAGAGCCAAGGTAAAAAAAGACTGAGAACTTCAGGCCCAAATTTAGAGCAACTGGTATGTAATAGTTCTGTCCCATCTCAAAGTCAGGCCATGGACTTGGTGACATGAGCAGTCTCAGCCCTAAGGAGTTGCTCTCTTCCCACATGGGCTGGCAGTGAGGTGAACACCAATGGAGAAATGAGGAGAGGACCACTCACTGGGCAGGTGATGTGACAGGGACGCTGGCATGTACCCACACCAGGTACAGCCCCATTGAGCCACTAGGAGGATGCTAAGCTAATGAACTCGAGGAGAGTCCTTTCTTACTATAGATAGCAAAAAAAAAAAAAAAAAAAAAACCAAACTGAAGACAAAACTTTGCTGGTAGGAAAAGGAAACTAGTTTTCACTGGCTCAGACAGAAGGGAAACCCCGGTGCTAGCTGGAAGGTTCCCAAACTCTCTGGGGCTCCAGATGCTCTAGGCGCAGGCTAGTGCACACAGGCAATAACGCACCACTACCCCTGCCTGGTGTCCATACGTCTTGGGCTGGCGCTCCTCGAACCTTGCTACTTGCACTACACTGTGGGAACAGAGAAGCACACAGTACCCCTAGGCCCGTGATGAAAGCCTGCCCTCCATCTGAGACCCGAGATGTACCACACACAGGAGAAGTGGGCCTGCCTATCCCAGCTACTCTGATGTGCTTGGCAAGGGGAAGAGGCTTGTGTCACATCCCATTGCTAAGAAAGGTGTGTCCACATCTGTTTTCACCCTGTGACTATATGTCTGCATCTGAGCAGCAGAGACACCCCATCCCTCCTTCAGGAGGGCTCTCCTCATGCTCCTCCTAGTGTCTAATTATACATTTGTACCAACAAAACTGTGAATAAACTCCTTATGCCTTTCTTTCTTATAGAGCTTTAAACAAAAACAAATGTGCAAATTAAACACAAAACCTTAAGATCAATAAATCTTCAATTCACAGTCTGTTAATTTGCCAGGGAGAACTTGCTTGGCTCATTCACACCCAGTCCTGGGATTCCCTCCAACGCGGAACCCTACGCCCATCATCCTACCCTGGAGTGGCAGCGACAACCCACGTGTCACTGGCGACTGGGAAAAGTGAGATCAGAACATGACACACAGAGCGGTGTAGTCTCTGGCCCTCTCCCTGCCCTAACATAGTACGTTCCTGTCAGTATGGTGACATGGAGCAGAGCCACCAGGTATTGAGACCGCCTGGCCCATTGGGGATACAGACAGGCACAGAAGAGCCAAGAAACTTGGTCACTTAGCAACACAATATTTTCAAGTCTGCAGAAAATGTCAGTTCCTTCATTGTCAGATGTGTCAAAGTCTGGGTAGAAACTTTGTTACTTTTAAAATAAAACCAAAACAAAGATAAAACCAATAAGAGAAGGTATTTCTATGGCCACCTCACCAGCTTGACTCCGCCCACTCCTCCCCTTCCTCATTGCAGAGGAAGCTTCTGCAGCATACCAGCTTTATTATGTGGACAGCAACACACGCATGCCAAGGGGGGGCTGTGTCTGGTGGTCTGTGGGTTGCACTTGGGAGTGTGTTTGCACTTAAACAGCCTCACGGCAAAACCTCAGCACACACCACATACCTCATGACGAAGCCCCCACCCAGCATCTGCCCTTGCCTCCCAGATGGAGTGATTTTATACATCAGAGAAACAAGCAGCCTTGGAACACGTGTGAGTCTCACAGCCCTGGTTGCACTGGGCCCCAGCCCTCCGAGCCTCACCTTGTCCCTGCCGATTGGAAGGGGCATGGCAGTGTACAAGTTCTTCCTTCCATCAAACACTGGCTTCCGGTCCCCGAAGATCTGGGTCTTGAAGTGCTGAACCATGTGCTCCACTATTTCCCTGAGACAGAGAATTCAGTAAAAGGTCAATAAGTTCAGGATGTGGCATGGGGACTGGCATCTGCTGATACAAACTAGCTTTGAAGTCACTTTAGGAGGCTGGGGTTTCTGCCTGTCGAGTGGCTTTCCATCCTGAGAAGTAAGGGTGAGGGGTTGGGAGGAGAAATCAGTCAAGAGCCTGAAGTGGGCTTATCTCATTTTTCTGGCCACACAAATGTGACATAATGTCCTAATGAGTTCCACAGGACAGAGGGTGAAGGTTACTGTAACCTCAGAGTGCCAGGTGCACCAAAGGGTAGCCACTGGGATTTTTATCCCAAAGTTGTAGACTAGACACCCATACCTCTTGTGAGGCTGAGTCTCCCATAGTCCATAGACCACATTTTCTGGCAAACAACAGTGCAGCTGTTGCAGCTGTCACCGGCATTGAGTACAAACCCCTCACTCAGCCTTCCCCAAGTCAAGCAGAGTAGCTGCAGAGACATCTAGGAGGAAACCCTGCATGGAACAGCAGGCACACACTAGGTTACTGACACCTGTGCACCCTGTCCAAGAGTAGCCCACACGCTAAACACAAAGCTAACAGCAGCAAGTCACCTGGCCTTATCCTTGCTGATGGGGAACAACTCACTCCATCTCAAGAACCTACAGGCCACACTGCCACTGATGTTTATAAAGGAACAAAGAGGGACAGAGCCACAGAGAGCAAGGGGCCTCTCACTCCTGCATCCCAGGAACTGTGTGTAGTAACCATGCTGGCTGTTAACTTTTGCTACACTTCTGGAAGTTTCTTTACAAAAAAAAAATGAATCCTTGAGTTAATTTCTAATTATGCAGGTTTTATGTTACTGCATCCTCATTGTGCTACACAGCTAAAGGGTCAGCTCAGACTGCTGCCCTGCCCAGCCTTCCCACAAGTGTATGAACAATCCAAGCTTTTACACAAACACAGACCCATTAACATTTTAAAAATTGTCTTTGCATTTTTATCTTTTAAAAAAAAAAGATTTTTGCTTTATTTTTAATTACATGCATTGTGTGGGTGTGCTCATGCAGGTGCAGAGCCATGGAAGCCAGGAGTCACCGGAGCTGGGGCTGGGGCTACAGGTGGTCGTTGTCACTTGTTTTGAGAGCTGGGAAATGCACTAACCCTCCCGCCACAGCCTCCCATGTTCACTGTGTTTTAACATGCAGCTCTCTGGGGCCTGGTGTTGTCCTACTATGTGCCTTAAGAAATATGTTCTTGTTACTATGTACAATGAAAGCACACCACCTATAAATGTAGATATCAACAAGCCATAACAGCGGGTGAGCCACTGATCACACACTCCCCGCTGTCTCTTAAGGTTGGCACTCTCTATCCCTTTGAGATAATCCCTTAAAACTGCAACTAGGCCAGGGGGCATGTAATATTTTTACTTTAATATATGTAACATATTATATGCAATATAATGTACACATATATAAGTTGGCTGCCTTCTAAACCCTCTGAAGTAGTCTATATCACAGGAGAGGCTTAAGTCATGGCCAGGAAGGAGGAAAGAGACATGGATGAGCTTGGGTACACTTCCCCTGCAGTAACTATATTTTGGACTAGTCTAGCCTTCTTCTCAAGCAACATGGGGCCTAGTTATTCCCTGAGAGCTGGCTGTATAGGGCACTTACTAGAGGCAGCACTGAGCTTGAGGGAGGGGCATACGGCCCTGCTGGAGAGTGAGGCACACAGGACACACCACGGTGTCACAGCACTAACAGTGACACAACTTGAGCCATCACAGAGCCTCAAGGTTGGACCCATCTTGGCTTTCACATAGATTGCTGTGCATGGAACAATGGGCAGGGGATGGGAGCAGGGGCAGGGTGGGGACAACATGAAATCTGTCCCCAGCACCCAGCTGCCTTCTCCACGAGGGATAGAAGTGGCATCCTAGGGGACACAGTAACACCACCGAAAGCACAAAATACTGGATGCTTCACGAGGGGAGATCCCACAATTGGGCACAATACTATTCCAACATTACACCACTTTGACCATCATAATCGTGAGACTGGACCCATTTAAGGCACACCACAATTAACAGTAAAATAAAGAACATTAAAGGTTTGAATGTTTAACCAGCCAGAAGCTCTCACAATAATTTGCAAGCCCTGGCCTTAGTCTGTAGTTCCCAGCCCCCTCAGTTGCTGAGCAACTGAGCTGACGCAGTTGCTAACCATGGCAACCTCAGCTTCTTACACACATGATGGTGACAGATCACATGACTACTGCCAGCCACGTGCCCGTTCCTGCATGCTATGGATAGCATGGCAAGAGCCTTACAGGAGCCACAGAGCCCAGACAACAAGAGTGCCTTTTCCCACCGGCCATTCTAGTCTGGGGGTGTCCTCGACAGCACTGAGACCCATAAGTTTGTGTCACAAGAAGCTAGCAAGCAGACCGACACACCCACTTATCAATCTTCAGTGAGACAAAATAAAAGAGCCGGGAAGGCCCTCAGCATTGACGGCTGCTCAGCGCCACAGGTCCATGGCTTTTGTGCAGAAACACACGTGTTACTGCACATTAATAGGATATTCTAGGCACACTGTTCAGCAGGTGGGATGACAAACTAAGACAATCACTCTCCCCCAGCAACTGTTACAGGAGAATGTGCACCAGCGAAGGGTTAACTCGGATTACAGCTCTCCCATGAAGCACTTGGCTTTGGACTTAGCCTCTTGCCTTAAAATGTGTGCAGAAAACAGGAGGCAGCTACTTGGGGATTAAGGTGATGAGGGATGGGAAGGGGCTAAGGCAGGCTTCTCATACATTTGGGCATCCTGGCCCTGGAGCAGTTTCCAAACCACAGCCCAGGAGATCAGTAGAATCCAGAGCTGCAGAGGTGGAGATTTCTGGGCCAGAAAAGATGGCAACAGGATTGATTCCCTCAGCACACTGTACAGCATCCCATAAATGGACCAAAATGACAACATGGGCATGTAAGTCAGCAACAAAGATGACATACAACATAAGGGAGACCCTGTGCTGTGACAACATCTCAAGGAAAGGAAGGCAACAATGAGCGAGCGAGCTCAAGAGACTGTCCACAAGCACAGATGCAACTTCACCGATGGTTACAACAGACCAAAAGTAACCCTCAAGGGGCCAGGAAGACGGCCATCAGTGAAGTGCTTGCCACAACATGAGGAGCTTATCTTCAATCACCATGCTGGAGAAGCAAAGACAGGTAGGTGCATTCTGGAAGCTCACAGGCCACCCAGCCCAGTCTAATCTGCAAGCTTCAGGGCCAAGTGACAGATCCTGACTCTGAAACAAGGCAACACATGAAGAATGACACACAAGGTGGACCTCTGGGTATGCATGCTTTCGCGCTCGCGCGCACACACATTCACACAACACACATGCACACACAAGAAAAATTACCCCAATTGAAAAACATGACGTTGCTGGGTATTGGTGGCGCATGCCTTTAATCTCAGCACTTGGGAGGCAGAGGCAGGTGGATCTCTGTGAGTTCGAGGCCAGCCTGGTCTATAGAGCGAGTTCCAGGACAGCCTCCAAAGCTACACAGAGAAACCCTGTCTGGGGGGAGGACAACACATGACATAGCATATGTAGAACAGCAATTCTAAAGAGGAGGAAGGAGAAAGAGGCTTTGAGAAACCAAGGCCAGTATTGTCCCACAAAAGGCCAAGATTCAAGTCCAAGGAATATGAATTCCAAGAAAATTAAACATGGGCACACTGTAGTCATAAAAAAGCAATACAAAAAATAAGAAAAGGGACTGGGCGTTGGTGGCGCACGCCTTTAATCCCAGCACTCAGGAGGCAGAGGCAGGCGGATCTCTGTGGGTTCCTGGTCAACAGAGCAGGGTGGGGGTGACCTTTTGCTCTGCTGCACTCCCCATGCTAAGATTACAAGTGTCAGCCACCATGTCCAGTGTAAGTCACTTTATAAGTGAGAATTATCAGATATAAAGGGAGACATCTCCTAATTATGAATAGTCAGCTTGTGGTATGCTGGCACACACACCTTTAATCCCAGCACTCAGTCATGGGCAGGTGGATCTCTGCAAGTTCCAAGCCAGTCTGATCTATACAGAGAGCTTCAGGCCAGTTAAAGGCTACATAGTAAAATTTTGTCTCAAAAAACAAACAAACAAAAACCCAGGGAAAAGTTTCAGTGGGTGAAGACGCTTACTGCCCATCTGACAACCTGCGTTCTATTCCTGGGTCCCACATAGTGAAGGACAGACCCAACTTCCAAAAGTTGTGTGTGTGTATGTGTGTGTGTGTGCATGCAGAAACAATTACTAAATGTAATTTTTAAAAATTTAAAAACTAAAAGGTACAACAATTATGGACAGAACCTTCTATTAACAGGGCTTCAGGATACATGAAGCACAAGCAGAAAATACCACTGGGAGAGAAGTAAGTCCACATCATATTTGTGTGAGAAAAATTAAAGACTTAAAGGATTGAACAAAATTGATCAACCACCCCCATCTAAGACCAGAGCACACCTGCCCCCACCATGGTGAATGTTTCTCAAGATAGACAGTGGCTGGGCTGCATCTTTGATCCCAGCTCTCTTCTAGCTAAATGAAAATCACAAGTGAGACCGAATCAGAGGGAACGCTCTGCTCTGCACAAAGAAACTGTAGAAGAAACTCTGGCCTGTGAGTAGACTGAGCAAGGGAAAGAAGGGAGAACAGAAAAACCGAGGGGGCGGGGTTAACAAAGCAAAAACGTTTGTTCTGGGCCAAGAACTGAAGTAACCACAACTCCTAAGCAAACATAGCAATTTAAAACATTCAGGCGGAAAGGGGTCTATAGGGCCCAGAGACACTAAAGAACACATGGAAAATGACCTGGTGGGGCACACCTTTGGTCCCAGCACTTGAGAGGCAGAGACGAGTTTCAGACTAGACACACACACACACACACACACACACCCCTCACCACATTATGAACAACTAACTCTCTGCTGGGAAATTCAGTAACTTTGATGACATGTGTAGACTCCTTGAAAACATGCAGAAATGAAACAGAAAAAAGATACTACCTTGATATGAGAGAAAAAATTAAGATGTATCAAACATTTCCTATAAACACAGTTTCTAGCCCAAACTAGCCCATTTCAATGACAAATCCAGAAGGCATTTAGTGGTAGAATTACACAAATCTTATACTTTTTTCTTCCAATCCGTATGTGTATGAGGTCATGTGTGGAGGTCAGAGGGCACCTTTCACTTCTCCTGTCTCCTCCCATCTCACCACAGGAGATTGCAGCCACACACTACCCTGTCCACCTGCATGTGGGCTCTGGGAATTCAAACTCAAGTCCTTCCGCTTGCTCAACAAGGGTTTTAGTTACCCATCCAGCCCCCCAGCCCTTTGCTCTTACACTATACAAAGAAGGAAGATTTTGCAACTTTTTATATTATATGTTACAGTCCTAACATAGAAATAGAACAAAAGAAGACAATTACAGACTGCACCCCACAGAAACAAATTCAAACCAGTCTTATATAGAGAGAATACATCATGATTCTCAGAGATGCATGGCTCATTTTTTAGAAAGCATAGCTCAAGTTAGTATGAAAAAATGACAAGATATTGACCAACAACCAACTCAGTAGTGACAGAATCCAGCTGACTGTTGGAGCCTGTCTCAGAGGATAAGGACAGCATTCTCTGTGATAATCCATATCTACCATCACGTCCTGAAGATGAAGAGCTGACTGCTTCCCAGTTAAAAACAGCAACAGGACAGGCTGGCCTCTGCAATGCCCACGCCCAATACCCAGCTGGCTTTCCTCCACACTGCACCAAGGAAAGAAATAAGATGTATTGGGAAGAAAGAAGCCAAACCATCCTTATTAAAAAACCATGTTAAAGCTGGAACTACAGAGATAGCTCAGCCAGTGGGAAAGAGCCCTAGCTGGTCTTGCAGAGGACCAGGATTGGTTCCCAGCACCCACATGATGACTGCCAAATACCCATTACTCAAAGGATCTTATTCCCTCTGGTCTTCATGCATACCTCATGCACATGGTACACAGAGAATACACATAGCAGACATGCGAATACATGTGTACACATAGGCAGACACTCGAATACATAAAAACTGTAGTGTGAACTAACATTTACATTCACATAAGATTCACCCATAAAAGTGTATAATTCAATGATTTAGTGAGTTGGAATTTTGACACCCAGTTTAAGTTTGATGCATGCCCATGGCTCCCAAATAAGCCTCTGTACTCCTTGGCTGTCACTCATCTGTACCTGAAAATGACATTTTAAGATGCTAGTTACAAAAGCAAAGAATATAACAATTTAGATTCAAAATAATTATAATTTAAAATTTCCAAGGGCTTTCTGGTAAAAAGCAATTGGCTCTTTTTTTCCCTGCTTACTATTCTCTTGGGTTTTTGTTTGTTGTTTGAAGCAAAGAGCTAAATTTGGAAAAACAAACTTGGAGAAGTCAGCAGTGTGAGATTTCAGCCCACAGTTAAAGCTGAGCACCCACCTAGCATGTACACCACACACAAGACAAGGCGAGGAATTACTGGCCTAAAGAGAGAACAAAGCAGATACAGAAACAGCCCATGCACGGCTGACTGACCTCCCTTCCAAAGGCGCCGTGATAAACAGAGAGAGCAGAAAAAAAAGACCCTTCAGTACCTCCCCTCATGCTACACACAGAGACCATTTCAGGGTGCAGCACAGACCTGAACTCAAAAGGCCAAGCTCTAATTCTCCCAGGTCTGCTGACAGAGGACACTTGTCATTGCTGAAAGTTTATAAACTGACCTTCAATAAAACTCATTAAAAGGTACTTTTTTTTTTTTTTTTTTTTTTTTGGTTTTACGAGACAGGGTTTCTCTGTTTTGGAGGCTGTCGGTCCAACCTGGCCTCAAACTCACAGAGATCCTCCTGCCTCTGCCTCCCGAGTGCTGGGATTAAAGGCGTGCGCCACCAACGCCCGGCTAAAAGGTACTATTTTAAAAAAACAAAACATGGGCTGGGAGGTGGGGCGCACACCTTTAGTCCCAGCACTCGGGAGGCAGAGGCAGAGGCAGGCAGATGAGTGTGAGGCCAGCCTGGTCTACAGAGTGAGTTCCAGGACAAGCTCCAAAGCTGTAGAGAAATTCTGTCTCAAAAACAAAACAACAACAAAATAAATAAATAGTTTAAAAAAAAACAACAAAATGCTAATATGAAATCAGATTCCAGACTGGAGGAGAATTTTCCCAATGGAGACACCTAAATCATGCAGAAGGTGTCGGGACTCTTCATAAGGAAAGGGGAAGACACTCATCAACTATCAGGAGATGAGGATGAAGGCCACAGAAGAGGAGCGGAAATGTCTCCAGTGCTGACAGGGTGTAGATAAACCAGCCCACTCTTCTAGACTCGCTGATGGAAAGAGAATTGAACCTGCCTGAGACAAGCCTGGCAAACACGCAGGTAGTGAGTGAAACCCACTCCTCACCCTGGAAAGGAAAGCCCATATCCATTCAAAACAGGAAGACAGGAAAAAAGAGGGTCTTCTTTCATGGGAGCTTCATTCCTAACAGCTTAAGCCACCCCGGCGTTAACAAGAAGATGAAGGGATCAATTATCAATACTCAATCCAGGCCACACAAGCATGAGGACTACAGTTCAGATCACTAGAGTTCATGCAAATGCCAGCCAGTCATGGCAGCCACTGGGGAAGAAAGGGCAGTTCCAAAGAAAGCTGGACTAGTGGTAACAGAGAGCTCTGGATGTGAATGACAGACAGACCTTACTTCCATGAATAAGATGGAGTGTGATCCAGGGAGCTGCTCACCATCAACCTCCACACACACACATGGACATTTACCTTCCCTCACAGATGCAGACACACAATTCAATGCTAAAAATCACTACTATAGCAAACAGAACAACACAGATGAATCTCAAAAAGACAATGCTGGAGCACAGAAGCGGGGCCCAATGTGAGACACCTTGTTGCACGGCTTCTGTGGGCAGGAAATAATATAAGCTGAGAAAATTGCAACTATGTGGCTTCAGGGCAGACTAACTAACTGGAAGAAGCGATGGATCAACACCTGTTCAAACTCCTGGAGCAGGGCTTTTACAGTGTGGGGATGTCCCCGTACTCAGATTACATCTCAAAGCCAAAACCATTTAAAAGTACATCACAGCAGTTTCATGGTAGAGAGTCAGAAGACTGACAAGCATCTGTGAGTCAATTAGGTACACAGATGGGCGGGAATACCTGTTCACTCTCCTTGGGCATTTCTCTGGTTTGATGTCCAGTTCATAGTGATAGATGTCAATTTTGGGGATGTCCATTTCAAAGAAATTGGCCTGTAGTTTGATTGTTCTCCCGGAGGTGCCGAAGTCCGGCCGAGGTGGAGGCTTGAAGCCATATCCTGGGATAGGTGATGTTGACGGAGCAGGAGACGCAAGAACTAGAGGAGAGTGGAGAGACATCAGAGGTCAGAGGTCAGGAATGGCCAACTCTGACTTATCATCAGAATCTGGTGCCCAACCCAACCTCCCCACACCTTTGGACCTGAGCCCCACACCTCTCCGGGTATCCCACCTTGTTTCCCCACTCACCACAGAGGCCCCCACCTACCAGGGGCAGGGGACACAATGGTGGGTCTGCCGCTGGCAGCTTGCTCATCAGTGACTGTGCCAAACCCTTCCCCACCAATATCTTCTCCATGTTCTCCCAGATCACTAAGACGGCTTTTCTCCGCTGGAGACTTCCATCTCTCATCAAGGCTCAAAGAGAGTCCTCACTGTGGCCACAGCTAGACTCTCTTCTTCAAACTCCCATTCCATCAGTGTGGCTGAGACCTAGCCCTCCCAGGAGGCTACGCGGTACACCTTACTTCTCCTGCTTCTTCCCAGTGGGCCACTGCCTTCTGTGTTCCCCAGTTGGGGATGCCATCTAACCATGCACAGCCCCAGCACAGGAGTTTTGGGTAGGCTTGGGGTGGAATATTCCTTAGACACCTGGCCTTGAGTGTCATGTCATACAGCCCTTACTCTCAAATCAAGCCCTCTGTGGCTCTCCAGTATCTAGTCCATGTGCCCAGGTGCATGGCAGTGCCCAAGAACTCAAGTCGTTTCTAACCACTGCCCCACCCACCCACTTCAGCAGCCATCACCTAGGATGACTGTACCCCACTGTCTCTCCCCCAACTCCATTTCCCTTTATTCCTACCCAGAGTTAGTCTGTTTGTTATGCTGTGCTGCCATCCCAGGGTTGAGATGGTGCAACAGAAACCAAGACACACCTGATGGACTCTCTGCTACTGCCCAAGGAAGCCGGGGCTCACACAAGTACAGGAAGACTCTCAGTGTGTAGAGTTCCTGTCCCCAGAGATCACACATATGCCCCGCCCAGCATTCACAGCACCTGTGACATTTTCTGACTTCCACAAGTACACACGGCTCTCTCTGACCCTGGAAACTATAGCTTAAGAACCTCAGCCTGGCAGTGGACCAAGCCATATTTCCCAAAGTAGTGGTTTTGTTTGTTTGTTTTTTCCTTTTATGTACATTGGTGCTTTGTCTGCATGTATGTGTGGGAGTGTTAGAACTGGGGTTACAGGCAGTAAGTTGTGAGCTGCCATGTGGGTGCTAGGAACTCAACTCTGATCCTTTGGAAGAGCAGCCAGTTCTCTTAACTACTGAGCCATCTCTCCAGCCCCCAGAGATAGTGTTTTAACACTAACCCAAACAACAACTGAAGCCGTTGCTGGAGTGACTGACCCCTTGGGCTAGCTATTGGCCAATGGTGTGCAGTGGGAGGTGGGCTGGGAACAGAGGTGTGCTGTGGTGACCAAAGTCATCCCAATCCTTGAGTTCCCCTGTGCTGCCTATGGGGAACTGGAGCAATGGAGCAGAATCAATTGCTAGTAGGGAAAGTAAGACCCACCAGACAAGGCTTATCTGTGACACAAGTCAGACTTGTCAAGGCAAAAGTGTCCCCTCTGCTATTCAAACCATTTCTTTATGCTCTGCTTTGGATTTTGGAGACAGGTAGTCCTGTCTGGCCTGGATAGAACAGGCTGGCCAGCCTCCAGCTTACAGCTATTCTCCTATCTCTGTCTCTGGAGTACATAAACCAGTTGCAGGCATGTACTGTAGCACAGGTAACTACTTTGGATGTAGTCGTGGGAAAGTGTCATACCAACTCCAACTTCAGGAAAGGACAAATCACAAATTTAGGAAGATTACAATTCATGTGTGCACACGCGTGCACTGCTGAGCTTAGCTGTGCTGTCTGGAAGCAGTCAGATCTGTCCTCCACATTCCACAGCTTTGAAAACAGGCACCCCTCCACCAGCCCCCTCTTATAGCCCTGATATGTTGGGGGCAGGCCAGGGTATAAGAAAAACTGCTCTCAAGCAGCATTTGGCCTTTTCTGGATGAGTGGTACCCAGCAGGAGGAAGTCAGTTAGCTTTCATTAGCTCAGCAGGACATGGCCATCCTTCCCTCCACAGATCTTGACCAGGACACACAATATCCAGGATCTCAACAAACCTGTTCCTTCCCTTCAGGTCAAAGGAAGACTAAGAAACAAAAACAAAAACAAAAACCAGTCAACAGATGTGTGGTCCCTGCTTTCTGGTAGTCCTGACTGGTCCAAGCTCAGACACACACATTACAAGGGAGCCAATAGCCACACCCAGCCAACAGGTTGGGCAGACCCCAGCTTACAAAGGCACCCTGGGGAACAAAGAGCCCAGGGTCCTCCCTCCTGTCTTGGCCTAAGTGCTCATTTACAGAGGCCCACTTCTCAGTTCACCCGAAAGCCCTCCTCTTTGTACCAGCCAGAGAGCTAAGGAGCACCACCAACCTTAATAAAGGAATGGGAAATATAAAATGTGATTTCACAAGATACTTTTCCCATCACTTCTAAAAAGAATGAAAATGTAGCTACTTCCTAGGAAAGGCATGTAGAATATAAAAATCTCATTTGGATCATACAAGTTCTCTGGCCTAGACATCTTCTCAAGTGCCAAGATCCCTCTTCTGAGACTCTAGTTCTGGGAGGCACCAGAGGCCTATTTTTATCACTTCTGGGGAGTCCCAAGTACACACTGCCAAACAAGCAGGATGGTTGGACCTGAAGCTTTGGAGAAGCTGGATCTGCAGGAACAGAACTCCATGAGAAAGGAGCAGAGCCCCAAACAGCTCAACTTGTGTGGTGCAGGCTCTGAGTCTGACAGGTAATGTGCTGAGTGAGAGAGGCAGAAGAAGGCACCCCATACACCCTCACACTCCTCCAGTCTGACGCTGAGGACACTGAGGTAAGTGAGGGAAAGCACTAAAGACTCCCTTGCTGTGCTCTCCATCCCCCAAGCACCTGGGGCCCTCCTCCCCCAAACCCAGGCAACACACACACACACACACACACACACACACACACACACACACACACACACACACACACACAGGCAATCTTTCTCCTAGGCTTGTCCTAAATGTGTTTCTAGTTCTGTCTTCTCAGGAAATGCTTGGTACCAGGGAGGCCCCAGGGAGGAACAGTGTCACCTTTCAGCATGGCGGTGTTATACCCTTAAAAGTTAGATACTGCTTACTGGAGCGGGTTCCCTGGCAGGGAGACTCCCAGGGACAGACAGCACAGGCACCCGTGTTTGCTGACTCGCTGATCACTTAGCACGTTTGTTTTAGAGCTCCATTTTTAGAGCCACATCACAAACAGCAAAAGGGAAACAGAGAGTGAGTAATCGACTTCCTGTATGAGCAGCCGGGTCCAGAAGACCAAGAGATTTGGTGTTTGTGACAGATGCCAAAAGAGGCGCCTGTGAGCAAGCCTGCCGCAGTACAGGATGGCCTCAGAAGTCCTGGGAGAATCAGGGAGCCTGCGCTAGCATGGGCTTTATGCAGGAAGGCAGACACATGGGGACTCCTGTCCCCAAGCCTACCCTCCCCCCACCTTCCAGCAGCACCCCTGGACATGGGTATGCACGTTCCCCTCTAAGGGACAGTGCTACTACACTCTGGGGCTGATTGCACTCAGCTCAAGCACAAACTCCAACCCCAGATAGGGGTTAGGGAATACTATATATGTCACAGCTGGGTCCTGGAAGCAACCTAAAGGACACCTACATGAGGTTTGGAATGCCCTGGGTCCCCAGCAAAGCCTGTCCCAAGTCATCAGGGCTAGAAGGCCCTCAGCCTCCCTTTATGACTGACTGACAAAAGCTGAGCAGATGGTTCAAGGAGAGAATCCAGGGAAGGAGGGCCACTCCACATTTCCAGGGCTGTGTGTGGCAGCAGCAGGATGGGCCTACTTTTTCCTTAGGTGTTCTCAGGCACCTAAGGAAGGGTCCTAAAGAATCCTGTGGCTTGGTCCTGACAGCCCACGTTACCATCACACTGCCCATCCCTTGTAGTGGGAAGGGGCAGGGTGTGTGTGATGGTGGTGGAGCGGGGGGGGGGTGAGTTGGAACATCGCTTACAACCCAGACCAGTACTGTTTAGTCAACAATTCTGGGAGAACTTGCTTCTGGGGGGTGTGGGGCAGCCCTGGGTGGAATACCCAGCCCACTCCTTCCAGGGCAATCAGGAAGTGAGTGAGAGACAAATTGTCCTACCCAAGGAGCCTGCTGCAGGCCACAAACTACTGCCAAGGAAGGTCATGGTGCCTTCTGGGAAAACCTAGGCTCCCTTTCCATAGAGGACCCAGGGACAGGAGAACTTGCCACCCTGCACACCGCTCCTCACCTGGCCTGGCCCTCTGCACAGGAATTTTCTTAGCCAACAGCACGTGTGGGGACTAAGTGAAGGGGCCTAGTTAGTTCAGTTTCTCTTCAACATTGATAATAAAAAGTTACAGAAGAAAAGAGCCAATGAACACGCAGAGAATAGCACCACACAAGACAGTCCCTGCAAGAGCCTTCTAGGTGTGCATGTACCAGCTAGGCCTACTGGCTTTTCCACACCCTTTCTTCATTTAACATTACACTAGGCCCACAGCCCAGTCTCCAAAGAGCTACCTCAGTGCTTTGCAAGCTGCCTCTGGACTACCCAGAGACTGGGACAGCCTACCCGAGACAACGTGCCTTCATCTCCATCCTGGGACAGACTCAGACACCCAGCAGGGCTTCACAGCCCCCTCCCTCAGAGCTGGCCTTCCAGACACACGTGTCCTTCTCTCCAGGCTGTAGCATCTAGCCTATGGCTTCCTAGTTCCATGAGTTCATCTGTGGCCCTGGCACCTCACAGCTTATAAGACCACTGTAGGCCATTCCAGGATGAATGACACTTCCTGGCACCCAGTGTGTACATGGACACAAGGACCCGACAGGAGCCAGGGGTTATGTGCACTCTGTGGGTCCTCCCTCAGCCCACCCTCACCCGGAACATCTTTCTTTTTTTCCTTTTCTTCTTCTTTTTTGTTTGTTTTGCTTTTTATTTTTCAAG